GAAGGAAGGAGATGGGAGTAAGGGGAGGTGCGGCAAGTGTGTGGAAGGCAAGATCTCAAAAACCCCCCATCCCATACACCAGGTTCAAGAGCCCTACGGTGCAATGGAGATAGTGGCAGCTGATGTGTGTGGGCCATTGAGGGAAACGTCAAGGCACGGGAGCCGGTACTTCGTCACTTTCACTGACCTAGGGACTAGGCACACGTGGGTGACAGAAATCAAGGACAAGACAGAGGTGTTTTCCAGTTTCTTGGACTGGATGGCTGAAGCTGAAAGGCAAAGTGGGAAGCAGCTGAAGGTGTTAAGGACCGACAACGGTGGGGAGTTTGTGAATGCGGAGTTCAACAGTTTTTTGCGCACGAAGGGGATACTAAGGCAGCTGACGGTACCGTACACCCCACAGCACAACAGCATTGCAGAGAGGGTGAACAGGTCACTCTTGGATAGTGTGAGGACCATGCTAGCTGATAGCGGTCTTCCACTGAAGTATTGGGGAGATGCCTTGGGGATGGCATGCTGGGTGAAGAACAGGTTGCCTACCAAAGGCCTTGCAGCAGATATGACCCCGCATGAGGCCTTTTATGGGAGGAAGCCGAACATGGGGTTTGCAAGGGTGTGGGGCTGCATGGCTCAGTATAGGGAGCCGGTTGGACCGGACCACAAGCTCCTACCAAGGAGCAAGTGGGGGATTAACCTTGGGATGGGCAAGGTGAGCAAGGGCTGGGTGATTAAGGACGTGGAGACGGGCAAGGTAGTGGTGACCAGGGATGTCATCTTCTATGAGGATGTTAATTACCTGCAGTGGAAGGGAGTGAACAAGGAGATAGCAACGGGAGCAGCAGCTGCGCTTGATAAGGTGGAGAAGCTGCTAGTGGAGAAGGAGAACGAGGGGATAGGGTGTGATGAGGAGGAGTCAGGAGGTGGTGCGGACAAACCTACCAAGGAACCTATTTGGCTGGAGCCGCAGAAGAAAAAGGTTGTAGAGGCGGCAGCAGATGTGGAGGACAAAGGGCACCACGAAGGAGAGCATAGAGAGACGGGCACAGAGGAGGAAAATCAGGATGTGGAGCGCGTGGAAAGCAGTGATGGGACAGCACAGGAGGGCGAGGGTAACCCATGGAGACTGATCGGTAGTGACGCTACTTGTGAAGCTGCTAAAGAGTTAAATGAGCTGCTGGAGGATGGAGCCATGGTGATAGGAAAGGAACGAGGGCTTGACGAGATATATGCAGCGACAAAGGAAGTTAGTAAGGACGAGACACCGGCTGAGGAGTTGGGGCGCGGTCTGAGGATCAAGAAGAAACCAGCTAAGTTTGTTTCACTGGTTATGACACCTTGGAAGGATGTGAGGACCCATCTGCTCCTGGCTGCAACTGCAACGGCGCTAGTGTCACAGGGGAGTTTGGAGAAGTATAGCCTGCCTAAGGAACCCGTGACTGTTGAAGAAGCCTTGGCAGGACCACAGAGGGAGCAGTGGATGGCTGCAATTCAAGAGGAGCTGGACACTCTAGCAGAGAGAGGCACTTGGGAGTTAGTGCCTATGCCGGAAGGAAGGGCAGCAGTGGGTGTGAAGTGGATTTTTAAGATCAAGACAGGGGATATGGGGCAGCTGGAGCGGTTTAAGGCAAGGTTAGTGGCAAAAGGGTATACTCAGGTCGAGGGGGTTGACTACAACGAGACCTATGCTCCCGTGAGCATGCTTACAACCGCAAGAGCATTCCTGAAGGTGGTAGCGGCAAGGGGTTATTTCTTGGTGCAGCTGGACATCAAGAATGCGTTTCTGCATGGTGTAGTGCGAGAAGAGCTGTACATGGATCAACCAACCGGGTTTGAAGACGGCACGGATAGGAAGTGTAAGCTGTTGAAGGCGTTGTACGGGCTGAAGCAGAGTCCAAGGGAGTGGTATAAGGCGATGGATGAGAGGTTGCTGAAAGGAGGGTTCCAGAAAAGTGAGTGTGACCGAGCGTTCTATTGGAGGGGAGAAGGAGAGAAGAAGGTGTACTTGCTACTCTATGTGGATGATATCCTCATAGCAGGAGCTTTACCGGCTGAGGTGGAGAGAGTGTGTGACCATCTTGCTGAGGTTTTTCAGGTGAAACAGATTCCTAGGACAACGCTGTTTTTGGGGATGAACCTGGAGCGGAATGTGGAAGAGAAGAAGCTCTTCTTGTACCAGAAAAAGTATTGCAATCGGGTGCAGCAGAGGTTTGGCCAGGGTTTCACCAAGGAGATCACGACACCACTCAGCGGCATGGCAGCAAATGATAACGAGCAGGAAGAGGATGTGAAGCAGTGGGGAGGAGAAAAGAAAGCGCTGCAGATGTACCAGTCGATGGTGGGATCGGTTATGTATCCGGTTTCATGCACAAAGGTCGACATGGCGTATGCGGCGAGTTACTTGGGGCAGCATGTGCAGCAGGGAAGGAAATGGCGGGAAATGAAGCGGGCACTTAGTTATTTGGTGCAGCATGACGAGGAGGGGCTTCTCTTTGAGGGAGGAGAAGAGACTTTGCAGCTGGTGGGGTATGCGGATGCCTCACATGCATCGGACAAGAAAACAGGGAAAGGCGCATATGGGTACGTGTTCCTTCTTGGGGGCACTGCCATCATGTGGCAAGCAAAGAAATTGGCGGACATAGCATTGTCAACTGCTGAATCGGAGTACATGGCACTGTTCTTTGCGTGCCAAGAGGGAGTGTGGCTGAGGAGGCTGATGAAGGAGCTCGACATCACTATTGAAGGACCTACTGTTGTGAAGTCGGATAGCAAGTCGGCCATTGACTTGGCCAGAAACGACAATTGGCATGGGAGGACGAAGCACACGAATGTGAAGTATCACTGGGTACGGGAGCAGCTTGAGAAGCAGCAGTTCAAGTTTGAGTTCGTTCCCACTGAGGAGCAAGTGGCAGATTTCTTGACCAAGGTGCTACCTAGGTCTAACTTTGAGTATTGCAAGGAGAAGGTGGGGATGCGCAAGTTGCAGGAGATTCAGGGGAGTGTGAAGCCAAATTAGACTGTTGGAGTGCAACGGAACAGGGAAGTAGAGGTGTGGTTCACGAACCACAGGGGAGGTTGTTGGAGTGGTTCGCGGAACCACACTAATGACGGCGCACATAATACGGTCGAGACGGCAGAATGAAGGCGACGGAAGCGTGTGGACTATTCTAGAGAGAAGCGGTGGAAATCGGCCTACGACGTGAGAAGGGAGAGAGAAATCGAGAAGGAATGTGTGAGAAGGTGGAAGAAGCATCGAGATTGAAGTTGACAAGGGGAAAATGTGGTCTGAGACCAAGGCGCGTTCGAGAAGGTTCCAGATTCGGACTTGAGGAGTGTTCACCGAATTCGGTTCGGTTGCGTGTGCGACTAGGGGTGAAACGAGGCGCACGCGGTTACTTGGGAAACAAGTGAAGTTACGAATCGCATTTTGTGTCTTGCTTGACTATAAACCTGTTTGTACTCATTCTGGAAATACAACATTGATCAGTTGGAGATTCTGAAAATTGCTGAAGTGTGTATTGACAACTTCAAGCAGAGCTGCGCATATCATTGGATTCGTGAGATCGTGGAGAACACGATAGGCGATAGCAAGTAGACTATTGCCGACTAAGGTGTTTACGATCCTGAGACTTAGCGGCATTCCTGCTCCCCTTACGCCCATTAGACCGTTGCCAGCATCCAGAAGTCCGTCGCACCATAGATCGCACCACCGCGACTTACCGCTCATCCTTTCGACTCGCATCAATCGTAGATCCAACATTTGCGTGTTGGTTGCTCGACATTCGCCACGATTCAATCCCATCCCTTACGTGGTCCGCTAGGTCTGATCCCATGGACTCCCTTCCCGGCGACCTACTTTACGCCATTCTGCGCCACGCCGAGCCAGCAGGGCCTCATGTATTACTAGCGCAGATGTCGTGCCTTTCGAAAGCGCTTAATCGCATGGCCAAGGAGTCCCTGTGGCATCTGCACTGCCGGGAAAGGCTCTCTGATCTCTTTGAGCACAAACTTCAGGTGCAGAATTCGGACGGCAACGAGGCGTATGAAGCATCCACGCGCAGATATTTTCGGCTCATGCTGGAACGGATGGAAGGGGTGGATTTTCAAGCCCTCGCACGACTTATCCTCTGGTGCCCTGGCGTGATAAGGGGGTGGCAAAATACAGAAATCGGGAAGGAGCGCGACAGTGATAAGCCACACATGCGCTTGCATGGGCCTGGCTTGGGTCTCATATATTTTGATAGCATTTCCCTGACCATTTGGTGCTTCTGTCATCGAGATGCTCTGGACCAAACCGATACGTCGCATCTGATACAAGGACTTCATGTTGGCGCCAAACTTGACTTGTAAGGCCACCTCTTCTACTCGCGCTTCATGTTTATGCTCTTTCTTCCAAGTGCTCTGCTGCGTTATCCTCAGCTTTCTCTAGAACTGTCTTGTTCATTGAATGAAACCGATATCCCTTTTCTTGCCATCAGGTGGTATTATACACAATCCAGTCGCTTCTTTGTGCAAGACGAGTCCTGCCCTTTCTGCGCCTCTAAGGTGTGTCTGGTTCATTATTATGTTCAACGCAATAGACAAGTCACAGCAGACTTTTGATAGGAAGAGAAGAACCAGAATCTTCCTTAACTATGTTTTTTGCTTTCCCCTTTTGAACAAGCAGAGACACTGCCTGAATTGTTTGGCAGGTCTGGGACACCAGTGAAGAAAGGTTTTGCAGCTTGATTGTAAACAGTGAATCCAACACCAAAAGCACCATGCAAGCCCCCGTCGCCGTTCAATATACATGTGTTGAGGTGCGTCTTGCGAGAAACCCCTGTAACATGGCTTTTCTCTCTATTGGTTGCATACTTTCTGAAGGTGGAACACTCTAGACTAGAGTAAGTAAGGATATTATACATGACGCCAGAGATCAACCCCTTATCGAGTGTGAACCACGTCTTGTGTGCCTGGCGATAAATCCTCTTGCAGGGACACTTTTACTCAGCTGAAAGCAAGTATTACGTCAATAGAGCGAGAGAAGTTGCAATAAGATCAGTGGTGGCAGAGGAGGGAAGGGTCGTTGACGAGGGGAGGGAGGAGGGGACACTGCAAAGTGTGGAGAACGGGAATCACGACGAGGGAGTTGGCATCAGTTACCATGCCAGCCATGTGAGTCCAACCTCCAACTTTCTGCTCGTGCTGCTTCCATGAAGCGATATGGTTGCCATAATTCTCATAGGTGCCTTCAGTGAGAAAATTTCTAGTCCACTGCTGGAGCTGCTGGTAGGTATACCCTTTACTCAAGATTCGTATGCCCAGATGCGTTCAGTTGTAGATACGTGGTGCTGTGAGCTCGCATTTGCCCTTGTGAGCAATGCAAGTCATGCATGTCACTCTCGCTGACAGATCAGAACTCATCCGGCTATGTTGATCTCACTTTCTCTTCCCTTGCGTTCTCTCCTCCCCTCCCCATTCTTCCTTTCCTGGGGGTCAGTCTACAACTGCAAGGTCAGCCACGGGGGTGCCTTCAGCGGCATGCAGTCATGCGCCCACTGCTGCTGCTCCTGCTGCTACAGCCAGTCGTGCCACAGCTAGTACAGCCAGTCATGCCACAGCTGCTACGGCTGTTCGGGCTACATCTATTGCGGGTCCTCATGTGTCGTCCTCTCGTGCCCATCACGCCACTGCACCAACTGCCCGGCATGCTGCCGCCTCTTCAGGTAACCTACCTACATCCCCAATGGATGGGGAGGAGGGGAGGTTGGCAGGGTCAGGAGATGGGGGAGGTTGGCAGAGGGGTTGGAGGGAAGCTTGGCAGGGATGGGGGATGGCATGCAGGCAGAGGGGAAAGAGGGGGTTGGGATGGACCGGGGGGGTTGGCAGCGAGGGGGTAAGAAGGTATGTAGAGATTGGGGTGGGGAGGGGGGAGGGAAGGAGTGGGGGGGGGGGGGGAGGGTGGACTTTTGCAGTGACTGTCGGCTTGTCATCCCACGGCAGTCACAATGTTGAATTTCCAGTTCCTTAGAAGAATTAAATGAGCTTGCCAAGTGCATTTTCTTGTGGTGGTTTTATTTTTTTTGTACCCCACTTCTTTTCCCAAAGTTTTCCCACATTCCGTACCAAGTCACTGTGTCTTATGTTCTCATGCTCGTTTTCACGCTTGTGCGCTTGCTCCTATGTTCCAACCCGTGCTGCAGCCCATGTTTCTCGCCTTTCCTCTAAACGTGTTGCATCTGCCGCTGCCCCTCGCGCTACAGCCGTAAATACTCCTCGCACCACCATTCGAGCTGCTTCCCGTGCTGCCCCCTGCGCCTTACACCGGTCCGCTTTGGTGCCTCGCACTACTGGCATCACTGCCAACCGCATCACGAGGAGCACGGCCACCCACACCACAGGCACCACTACCACCCACACCACCAGCACCACAGGCGTCCGCACTAACAGAACCACTGCCACTCGCACTAACAGCTCAACTGGAGCCTGCACCACTGCCGCCCGCATTACCGGCACCACTGCCGCCCACATTACCGGCACCACTGCCGCCCGCATTACTGGCACAACTGCTGCCCGCATTGCCGGCACAACTGCCGCCCGCACCACCCATTCCATTCCCCCCCGCACTAGCAGCACCACTGCCACCCGCACCAATTGCTCCTCTGCTCCCCGCGCCACTGGCACTTCTGCCGCCCGCACCAACAGCACTGCCACCCGCGTCGCCGTCACCATTGCCACCCACACCACCAGCAGCACTGCAGCCCACACCAACAGCAGCACTGCCAGTGGCACCACAGGCGCAGTGACTTGTTACGGAATGACAGCTGCCTCTGGTGCCACACGGTCTGGCTGGAGCAGTCCGCTTTCTGCTGCCGATTCGCGCGCCAATGCGTGTATTGCTGGAGGTAAGCCTCGGCCATGTGTGTCCGTGCGTGCAGTCACAAGCACTGGAGGGAAGCCGTGGGCATGCTGATCGTGGTGGTGGTGCATGTGGAGACAAGGCACTACAAGACAACGCTGAAAATCATGAGGAAGGGGAACACAGGAGGGCCTCCAAGGCGAGATGGGGGGTTGTCTTTCCACGTGCCTATATGTGCCTGAAAGTTCACTTCCATCAGTCGGTGCATGTCATCGTCCTCAACCCTGAGCATGCATCTAGTCCATCTACTATATGGTGGGCAACCAACCCTTGCAGCTCAATTTATCAGTTCATCATGCTATCATTACCGGCCGCTTGTTTCCGCTACCCCTTGCTGCTCCAGCTGCATCCCTCAATGCCATATCCCCACTTCTCACCAAGTTCACCACGCCTTAACGTGTTCTCCCATCTGACTTATCCTCCCATCCCAACCCATCTATCCGTCCTTGCTTGTGGGCTTCCCTGCTCCCAGCTGAGAACACAAATGCTGAGTCAAGATGCTCCGCAGAAGGGGCAGCGATGCCCCCTCTTGCACCCATTCTGATCTGATGTATAATGAATGCATTTTGTCAACCAAGCTGCCCCAGTGTCACGTACGGCTGTGTGAGCTACTTGATTCCATGACATGCTGATCGTACAGAGTCTGTTCCTCTGACTTTAAACTGTCGGGTGTTACTTCAGTAGTTGTTACATGATAAACGTTACACTGGCTCTAAGCTGGCTGGTTGAAGTTCCAGTCAGGTGGTGGTTTTGCTATCTCTCCAGGCAAGTAACATGGCACATGGCACATTGGGTACAAACAAGGGGAAAGCTTGAGTGTTGTGTTGTGAATATATGGCGCATTGGCAGCGTTCTCTTTCACCTCAACAATAGCTTAGCGCTGTCCTGCCGTGCTGTTTTTGCTCGCAACTTATTGACAGGGCACACAATTTTTTAGGGCGTCTCTTGCCTTGTTGCTGCCTGCAGGGCTAAGTCTTGGAAAGTTAGCATCACCGATGCGAGTCTTGGAAACGCTACCACTGATTTTCGAGGCTGCTGCTGGCAAGAAAACTTTGACAATCAGAACTTCCTAGTGGTATCGTAGCTACGGTACGGCACCGTAGTTTTTCCTCCAAAACAAAAAAATCCTGAGCGAACACCGTATTTGCATTCGTACAGTTGGTGCTTCACATTACCGTAACTAACCACTCAACATGGTAGGGTGACTAACACCACTAAAATCATACATCTTCCTGCCTATTGTACCATACACAAGGTTTTGCCACAAGGACACACAAGAGGCGTTGTTGCCTTGTTGCCTAGCGCACCTTCTTGGGCACGACTCGAAGGCGCTTGTAAGCCATCACTGACGTGGCTGTGAAGAGAGAAAACCTGAGCACGAGGGGGAGAATGGAGGAGATGGTGCAACATAATTACATATCCACCTAGGAAAGGTAAAAGTCAAACATAACCTTGTTGTTACCTTGTTGTAAGTCATGAGATGAATTATAGCAGAAGAACGTTGAAATTTTGGCGGCGGACGACTCACCAGGTGGCAGCGTAGGTGATGTGGTCGGTGGGCATGACTGGCAGCTTCACGAGCTCCTCCGGGTCCTTGGGGCGAGGGAAGCGCGGGTCGCTGTAGAATGCAGGGCAGACACCCGCCTGCCCGCTGCTGCTGCTGCTGTTGCTGTCCGACGTACGCTCCTTCTCGTCCTCCTCGTCCTCGGTTGGTTTCATGGCGTCCAATAGCAGAGTGCCACGTGGCAGGCCACAGGCCTGGGCCATGGCAGGCACGTCCACCCAGAACCACTCGCCGTGCTCCGGCGCGTTGGGCGGCACGAAGTGGTTCGGCTTCTCACTGCCTCGCACCACACCGAACACATGGATCACAGGAGGGGCGTTGGGCTGTGTGGAGGGGAGAGGTGGAAAAAGAACGAGCGCATTCTATTTAGACAGCAATTGCTGAGTGCTCCAGGCGATTAAGCGGCACTAGGTGGTTTGGCTTCTCACTGCCTCGCACCACACCGGACACCGGAATTGCAAGGGGAAGTGCTGGGCTGATGGAAGGAAGGAGGAGATAGGAAGGGAGTGGGCACATTTTCAAACAGCAGCTTGAGTGCTCCGGCCATTGGGCGGCACAAAGTGGTTCGGCTTCTCACTGGCTCACACCACACCAGACACACGGATCACAGGGGACTTGGCTGCATGGAACGGAGGAAGGAGATGGGAGGGAAAAGGCACTACTTCTCTTGAAGAGGTTCTGCTTCTCACTGGCTCGGACCACACTAGTCACGCGGATCACAGGAGGTGCGTTGGGCTGTGTGGAGGGGAGGAGACGGGGAGGGAAAAAACAAGACTTCAGCAACTGTTAAGTGCTTTAACCGGTTGGGACACTGGGTAGTTGGGGTACACGCTGGCTCAGACCACACCAGACACACGAATCACAGGAGGGGCGTTGGGCTGCGTGGAAGGGAGGAGGAGACGGAGAGGGAGAGAGTGACTCCTCAAACAGCAAGCCTTCAGTGTTCTGGGCATTGGGCGGTTTCGAGTACTTGAGGTTCCTGCTGGCCCGGACAATGCCACACACGCGGTTCACAGGGGGGTTGTTGGGCTGCGTGTAACGGAGGAGATGGAGTTGAAAAGAGCTTATTTAGACAGAAAACAACTGTTGAGTTGAGTGCTGCAGGCCATTCAGCAGCACTAGGGCTCTTGCTGGCTTGTGCTGGCTAGTGCTGGGTAGGACCATGCCAAACACCTGGATCATAGGACGGAGCAGATGGTTGGGGAGAGAGCAGCTCTATGTATGACCACCGCAACCACTCCTCATGCTCCGGCCCCTTGGGCTGCATTGAGTGGTTGGGTTGTCACCCGACACACAGTGAGCAGTGGCCGCGCCATCACCAAAGAGGGGAGATAGTGGAAGGAGGAAAAGAGACAAGTGGTGCGAAGTGCATACAATATGGACAGGGGAAGAGCGACTGTTAATCTGCATGCATCCCATCCCAGTCTCATAAGACTGCTCCAATTAGATATGATATGATTTTTATTTGATGTGATATGATCTGATCTGATCGGATTTGATCTGATCTGATATGAAATGAACTGATATGCTTTGGCAACAAACCTCACCTCGCCAATTGCTGTCCCAGCGCCGGCTCGCGCTTTACCTCCCCCTGATCCAAACCACCCCCTGGTGCTGCCCATTTCACTAACGTCACCGCTGCTGCTGCCACTGCTGCTGCTTCCGCCACCACCACTCCTGCTCGTCCCACTGCCACCGCTCTCAACCTCCTCCTTACCCGCCTCGCCTGCGGCCCCCTTCGCCCTCTCCCCCGCCATCCATGTGTCTGCCTCTCGCCTCACTGCCTCGGGCACCCACCCCCTGTTCACCAGCACTGCCGGCTGCTCGCTGCATGGGGGAGAAGGGGAAAGAGGCGATGGGGGGGATGAGGGGACGGGGGACAGCAGAGGGGAAAGGAAGAGTCAGGGGGAGCACTCAACATGCACGTTTCGCCTCACTGCCTCCGGCACCCACCCTCGGTTCACCAGCACTGCAGACTGCTAGCTGGAGCGAGGGGATGTTTTAATGTGGTCTTAGGGAGTTGTGGAAATAGGGGAATGGTGGCATGGGGGAATGGGGGAATGGGGGAATGGGGGAATGGGGGAATGGGGGAATGGGGGAATGGGGGAATGGGGGAATGGGGGAATGGGGGAATGGGGGAATGGGGGAATGGGGGAATGGGGGAATGGGGGAATGGGGGAATGGTGGCATGGGGGAATGGGGGAATGGGGGCATGGGGGAATGGGGGAATGGGGGAATGGGGGAATGGGGGAATGGGGGAATGGGGGAATGGGGGAATGGGGGAATGGGGGAATGGTGGCATGGGGGAATGGGGGAATGGGGGCATGGGGGAATGGGGGAATGGGGGAATGGGGGAATGGGGGAATGGGGGAATGGGGGAATGGGGGAATGGGGGAATGGGGGAATGGGGGAATGGGGGAATGGGGGAATGGGGGAATGGGGGAATGGGGGAATGGGGGAATGGGGGAATGGGGGCATGGAGAGCAGCAGTTGGGAATGAGAGCGGTGACTGGCAGGCAGAGGGGTTTCAACATGTGCCTTATGGCCTATTCCTGTGCATGTTAGAGGGCCCTACGACAGCAAGGGCCCTCGATGACCTTTGACTTGGCAGGTCGGCGCCTAACGACTGAGTCTACTCGGCACCGACGCACGAGTTCGGTGGTGGTCACTAGTGACTACGGGTGACTGTGAGCTACTGCAGCGAACTCGGCGGAATCGGTGCTAGGAATGACGAGTCTTGGGGGTCGTAGGTGCCTTGCTTGTGAGGCACGCTGCTCACTTGCTGTGTTGGCAGGAGTAGCGTGCACGGTGAGACATTCCGGTGCCGAGTTGGGTTGGAAATGTGCGGGGCGCGTTCACCCACCAGCACAGCACTTTCGTGTGGGTTGGGTTACTCGCAGCGCCACGCAACAATTGTGCAACTCTTGCTTGCCTATATATGTTTGTGTTTGCTTGTGTGTTTGATAATTGATATTGCAATTCTACTTGGCCCAAATGCTACTTCAATTCTCACAAAGTCCTTAGAGGCAAACGCTACCAAAACTCTACCAAGTTGCTGGCGCAACATCATTCCCATAGCAGAGACTCTCTCGCTATCGCTACGCTCTCTAATATATTCCTTCATGGTGCGGTGAGCGTGGAACGAACACGCATAGATTTCCGTCGTCGTTGATATTCGCGTTCGTATACTCGCCTTGGCGTGCGGCGTTAGTGAAGGGCGCTTATTAATCTAAGTTGAACCTCTCTTGATTTCCCTCCAGTTACGTTCTCGGACCCAAGGATAGGGCGTTTGGTAATTTATTACCACTCGTCTGAGGACCCTTGTGAGGTGACCCCGAGACGAGGGATTTAAGGAAGGGGCACTTTATTTTAATTTGTGGTACCTTATAGAGACGTCGTAGAGGATGAGTACAGAGGAGGCGAACGTGGAGGCCGGTAATTTGCGCGCCCTAGAGGAGGATCTCGTGGCTCGTCATTCTCGTGGTGAGATTAGTGATATCGAATACGATCTAATGTTGGAGGGATTGCGCTCGCGTCGGCGTCGTGAGCACCCTTCGCCACGTGTAGAGAATGTTGAGCAAGTTGCGGGAGGTACTAGTGCGTGGGATATGGCTGTCGATGGCGGAAATAGCGATGACGAGGAGTTTGATGGGTTGATGTCGCGTGGGGTCCTGCGAGGACCAACTCGGTTTAGTACGGCTAGCGTTGGCGGTGTACAGGAGCGTGTTCATCGTGCAGCAGCGTCACGAGAGCATGCGAATGTAGGACGGCGGAGCGTTGCTGGAGGAGGAATTGCGGAAGAGTTCGATAGTGAGGCTATGCCGAGCGTTACCCCGATTGGATCGATGTCGAGGGACGAGGGAATAGCCCCCAACTATGGCTACTTCAGATTCACTCCAGACAAGATCGTTGTCACTAGGCCGTTAGAAGGACGTCACGACCTGTCGACGTGGACAGAATCAATCGAGCCGCAGCTTGAGATCGCTCAGCTAAAGCGATTCATAGATGGCACCACCCCCATTCCACCAGCGCGTGCGCTTGCGCATCTCTCTCAGTTCCGCGCGATGCAGTTGCTGACATTCACCACCATTTCCCGATGCTGCTCCCCAACCGTACAGATCGCCCTTAAGGCGTGTCGCATGAAGGTCGATGCCGGCTATCAGGCATGGCAGTTTATTATGCGCACGTACATGGCGAAGGACGATCTGTACATCGGTCAGTTAGAGCAGGCGCTCACTAACCTCGAGATGGGAGAGCACGAGTCCGCTACGTCCTATTGCAACCGTGCGCAGCAGATCCTAGTGAACCTGAGGATGGCCGGCGTAGATTACTCGCAGGCGTCGTACATCACTCACGTTGTGAAGGGGTTGCCGCAGCAGTACAACCTCTTACGCAGGATGCTGAAGTTGCCGCAGGTTCGCAAGGAGTTGGACGAGGACACCCTCGCTAGCTACATCATCGAGGAGGAGTGTACGCTGGCGGCAGAGGGACGAAAGGACCAATTTCTTCCCCAGGCTAACCAGGTCTTTACCAAGAAGGGTAAGCCCCAATTCCAGCAGACTTCATTCCCTTCCCCTCCCACTACGGCACAGCAGCAGCAGCCTAAGAATGGGGGTGGGCTTGGTGGGGGAGGGGAGAAGTGGAAAGGGGGTAAGGATGGCCAGCCGAAGGGGGGGAAAGGGGGCTTCAAGGGGAAGTGCTATGTGTGTGGACAAATAGGGCATGTTGCTAAGTACTGTCAGCAGCGGGCGGATAAGGAGGCAGACATCGGTGGAGAGGGTTCTGGAGGTAGCAGCGGAAAGGGGGGTGATGGCTCTAAGGGGAGCGGGCAGTCATCATGTGCGATGGTGAAGCCAGTTGTGGAGCAGACTCCTCTCGTTGTGCTAGAGCCTGAGGCCGGGGAGGGCTTACAGGCTGTTGCAGCTGCTGTGAAGGCGAACCCGAGCGTCGTGCTGCTTGATAGCGGATGCTCCCACCATCTCATGGGAGATCGTTCTGCCTTTGTGGAGATGAGCAGCGGCGGCAGCATTAAGCAGGTTACCGGCTTCAACGGCGCCCTTCAGGAGGTGCAGGGGCGAGGCACAGTCGCTCTTCTTGGGGAGGGGGGCAGGCGTGTCTTGGTGCCGGACGTGCTGTACGTACCAGGAGTGCAGGCGAGTCTTCTCTCTGCTGGGCAGCTGCGTGATAGTGGTGTGCAGCTGCTGGATGCCAGGGATGTGACTTTGCTGCGGGCACCAGATGGATCGCTCCTTGGTCGTGCGGAGTTCAAGGGGCGTGTTCTCTGCACGAACTTTCAGCCGTGTTCGACGCAGCAGCAGGAAGGCGAAACGGTGGCACTTCGTACCTTGGCGACCGGCGTACGGTCTAAGGGGGACCTGTGGCATGCGCGTATGGCACACGTTGGTATTGATGCCATCGAGCGCACAGCGGCTCACGGGTCAGTGAAGGGCTTGGATTTGGAGAAGGGGGGCAAGTCAGGCATACCTTGTGTCTCCTGTGTTGGGGGAAAGATCACTCGTCATACCTTTCCTTCTGTGGGAGAGGAGGAGGATGAGTTGCTCGGGGTGGTGCATGCTGACCTGTGTGGCCCTTTCCGTGAAGCAGCTAAGGACGGCAGCCGCTACTTCTTGGTGCTGAAGGATCGCAAGACGCGATATGTCTGGGCCTACCCTTTGGCCCAGAAGAGTGATGCGCTGGCGGCGTTCCAGAAGTGGCTCCCGATGGCAGAGCGACAGTGCAAGACCACGGTGCAGGCGCTGCGCACTGATCGGGGTGGCGAGTTCCTGGGGCACGACTTCACGCTCTTCCTCGACGGTAAAGGCATCATCCATGACCTCACATGCCCGTACACGCCGGAGCAGAACGGGATGGCCGAGAGGGAGATGCGCAGCATTGTGGAGGCGGTGCGGACGATGTTGCTGCACATGGGTGTGCAGCATCACTGGTGGCACCTGGCGTTGGCTCAGGCCGTCTGGGTGCGCAACCGCGTGGAGCACGCCTCACTACCCTCTGGTGTGACGCCGTACGAGCTCGCCTTCCGACGCAAACCTGATGTCAGTATGGTGTGTGTTTGGGGCTGCATGCTGCAGTACATGGTACCACAGTCGCAGCGTGGGGGGAAGCTGGCGCCTAAGGCTCGCTGGGGGTTGCACTTGGGTGTGTCAGCTGCGAGCAAGGGCTGGGCCGTGCTGGACTTGGAGTCCAACCGCCTCATCACCACTGTGGAAGCTGTGTTCTATGAGACCATGTCCCTAGCAGGATGGAAGGCTTGGCATCAGCAGGAGCATGGGGGGCGTTCGATGCCCTATGAGCCCCTTCCCTCACTCTTCCCGATCACTCTCGAGGAGGCGGAGGAGGAGGAGGAGGTGGTCGCACCTCCTGCTATGCCCTATGTCCCTACCTCGGTCCCCACCCCACCTCCGCCTTCAGTCTACCCTCGTGTGATTCCCCCTGCCCCGCCTTCTTCCTCCTCACCCCCCTTGGCTTCCCCTCCTCCTCCTGTTATTCCATCTCCCCTTCCACCCTCCATCCCTCCTGCACCTGCTCCGCCCTCTTCTTCGTCTTCCACGGCGCCGCCCGTTGGTGAGGGGGGGATGGAGGTGCCACCGTCTGTGGAGATCACCGACGGGCAGCGCCTTGAGACTGAGCAGCTGCAGGACGAGAGCAGTATGGATGGAGTACAGCAAAGTGGGGGGCAGGAGACAGGGGAGCAGCAGACAGGGGAGCAGCAGATTGGGGAGCAGCAGACAGGGGAGCAGGAGATGTGGGGAATTAGAGATGGTGGTCGTGTGTTGGTTTCTGGGACGACCACTGCACCACTGCGTCGCTCCACTCGCATCACTCGTGGTGTCCCGCCTGTTCGATACGCTTGGGCTGTAGTGGTTGAGCCAGCGGGCTTGGATGACGAGGAGGAGGACGAGGAGTGGACTGACCTGGACCCGGACGTGGCAGCTGACCCTGAGAGGCAGTGGGACATAGCGAAAATGACAGTGAAGGAGGCCTTGGGCTGCTGGAAGGGAGACAAGGTGAAAGAGGCGATGGATGAGGAGATGCGGAGCTTGATTGAGCAGGGGACGTGGGAGTTGGTTCCGCGTCCGCCAGGGGTGAATGTGATGAAGAACCGCTGGATTTTGAACACCAAGTTTCGACCAGATGGGATAGTGGAGCGTGAGAAGGCGAGGCTGGTGGTGAAGGGGTTCACGCAGGTGGCAGGGGTGGACTATGAGGAGACGTACGCCCCTGTGGGAAGCTATGTGACGGCGCGTGTGCTTCTGGCGATTGCAGCTGCACTTGATTTGGACCTGATGCAGCTGGATGTGAAGAACGCGTTCCTCCATGGCGTGCTAGACCGAGACCTTTACATGGAGCAGCCGAGCTACTACGAGGATGGGACTCCTCGTGTATGTAAGTTGGTGAAGAGCCTGTATGGGCTCAAGCAGAGCCCGATGTTGTGGTATGAGGCCTTGGATGGGGTGCTGCTTGGGGCTGGATGGAAGAAGAGCCAAGTGGATGAGGCTCTGTACTTCAAGAGTGATGCTGAGGGGGAGATGTGCTGGCTGCTGGTGTATGTGGATGACTTGCTTGCTGCCAGCCGCAGTCAGAGCATGCTAGCGGAGCTGCGTGACCTGCTGCAGAGTGCCTTTCAGCTGCGGGAGATTAGCCCTGTGGAGAAATATCTGGGGTTGCAGCTGATTCGGGACAGGCCCACGAGGAGGCTGTGGCTGCACCAGGGGGCCTATGTGGACAAGGTCCATAGGCGCTTCTTTGACGGGGAGCAGCCGCTGCGAGTGCCTCGCACCCCTCTTTCCTCTGACCCTTTCAGTGTGCAGACCTTCGAGGATGTGGGATGGCAGTCTCGCCAGGAGGAGGAGTACAGGCAGAAGGTGGGATCCTTGCAGTTCGCGGCCTGTACCACCCGTCCCGACATCTCGTTCGCCTGCAGCAAGCTGGGGTCGGGCCAGACTGTGCGGAGTGATCAGCACTGGAAGGAGTTGGACCAGTGCTTGACGTACTTGGTGGGGAGCAGGGATGTGGCGCTGGAGTTTGGTGGGGGGCCGGAGTCCTTGGAGCTGGTGGGCTACGCCGATGCTGATGATGCGGGAGACAAGCAGAACAGGACCAGCACTGGTGGCTATGTCTTCGTGCTCGGGGGTGCTGCTGTCTCTTGGGCGAGCCAGAGGATTCGTTGCGCCACCCTCTCCTCCACTGAGTCTGAGTATGTTGCTGCTGTGGAGGCTGGGAAGGAGGCGCGCAGGCTGCGCTTCCTGCTGGCGGAGTTTCAACTGCTGAGGAGTGAGGAGCCCACTACTCTCTTTGTGGACAACTCCTCCGCCATTTCAGTGGCAGGTGGCATGGGACTCAAGGGGAGCCTCAAGCACATGGAGCGTCGTCACATGTGGTTGCAGCACATGGTCAAGCGCAGGAAGCTGCAGCTGCAGTACATCCCTACGAGCGAGCAGCCTGCTGACTACCTTACCAAGGCATTGCATTTCCCCGCCTTCAGCCGTTGCTTCGAGGCTGTGGGGCAGGTGAGGCTCTCGAGCGAGGGGAGTGAGACCTAGACACTCCATGATGTGGATGGTGCCATGGCCTATCCATGGCTGGTGCGGTGCGTGTTTGCACTTTGAGAGTGCTTCGTTTGTGTGTGTGTCCCTTTGTTTTGGTGTGTATGTGTGTATGCATGCCCTGTGATTATAAAGGGCCTTGCTGTAGTATGGCAGGGGAGTGTTAGAGGGCCCTACGACAGCAAGGGCCCTCGATGACCTTTGACTTGGCAGGTCGGCGCCTAACGACTGAGTCTACTCGGCACCGACGCACGAGTTCGGTGGCGGTCACTAGTGACTACGGGTGACTGTGAGCTACTGAAGCGAACTCGGCGGAATCGGTGCTAGGAATGACGAGTCTTGGGGGTCGTAGGTGCCTTGCTTGTGAGGCACGCTGCTCACTTGCTGTGTTGGCAGGAGTAGCGTACACGGTGAGACATTCCGGTGCCGAGTTGGGTTGGAAATGTGCGGGGCGCGTTCACCCACCTGCACAGCACTTTCGTGTGGGTTGGGTTACTCGCAGCGCCACGCAACAATTGTGCAACTCTTGCTTGCCTATATATGTTTGTGTTTGCTTGTGTGTTTGATAATTGATATTGCAATTCTACTTTGCCCAAATGCTACTTCAATTCTCACAAAGTCCTTAGAGGCAAACGCTACCAAAACTCTACCAAGTTGCTGGCGCAACATCATTCCCATAGCAGAGACTCTCTCGCTATCGCTACGCTCTCTAATATATTCCTTCAGTGCACCCGGGAAACGGTCACTGGGAAGCACATGAGCTGCACTGCACATGTGTGGCGTATCATTCACCTGCCAAGTGGGAGAACGAAATCCCTCCTGCAACTGCTGCCAGCGAGTGATAAGGATAACCTGACAGGGGGGAATGAGCACACGCATCTCCGCCAGCGGGGGGCAGCACTCACCTGCCAGGGGGGGATGAGCGGCGTGACAAGAAAGTACCCTTTCTCCTGTGCGCCCCTCACCATGTGCGCCCCTCACCATGTGCGCCCCTCACCATGTGCGCCCCTCACCATGTGCGCCAGCGGTGGCATGCAATGGGAGGGGTTTACTGACGGGGCGAGGGAGAGGGAGGGATGCGCATACCTGCCAGGGGGAGGGATGAGCGGCGTGACAAGAAAGTACCCCTTCTCCTGTGCGCCCCTCACTGTGTGCGCTCTCGGCCCCACAAACAGCGACCGTGCATCGTCGTACCGCCCCGCACACTCCACCCGCCGAAACTCCAACTCCCCTGCCGCCCACCCAGGCCCCTCTGCTGCCGAACCAGGCCCATCTGCCGCCGAACCAGACCCGTCCGCTGCCGAGCCAGACCCATGAGGCCCGGCAGCGGCTGGTGATGTGGCAGGTGGTGGCGGCAGCAGGGGCAGTGCGGCTTCCTCCCCGGTGGCGAGCGCGTGGGCCTGCAGGGCGTCCAGCAGCGGCACTGGCGGCTCCTGCAGGCGCTGCTGCCGCCGCTCCACTAGATCCAGCTGGGGGGATGGGCAGCAGAGGGCAAGGACAGTCGGGAAGAGATGGATGCGCAAGCGGGCATGCGGATACGCGCAGGACCTGGCGGCTTCCTCCCCGGTGGCAAGCGCGTGTGCCAGCAGCAGTGCTTCCAGCAGCGGCACTGGTGGCTCCTGCAGGCGCTGCTGCCGCCGCTCCACTAGATCCAGCTGGGGGGATGGGCAGCAGGGGGCAAGGACAGGCGGGAACGGGATAGATGGGCGTGCGGATCGGGCCTAGAGCAGCCCAGGGCGGATCCGACCTAGTGGCTTCCTCCCCGGTGGCAAGTGCGTGGGCCTGAAGGGCGTTCAGCAGTGGCACTGGCGCCTCCTGCAGGTGCTGCTGCCGCCGCCCCACTAGATCCAGCTGGGGGGATGAACAGCGGGCAAGGACAAGCGGGAACGGGATGAATGGGTGGGCGTGCAGGTTAAGCAAACCCAGGTGCAGCTGGAGGGACGGGCGTGTGAGAGGGTGGGCGGGCAACGGATGGATCGACATGCAGATCGCACATCAGTACAGGCCGGCTCGGGACTGAGCAGCTGCCGTTGCAGGCGTCTTTTGAGAACCCTCAAAGGCCGCAATCAGATCGGGCATGAGCACGGCCCGGGTCAGGCTGGGACAGCAGCAGGACCGGCACGGGCCAGCCCTTGGTGCGTGCGGCCCATGCCTCACGTCATGTCCATTGCACATGAGGAGCTTCATGCGCGGGCCCATGCTAGAAAATCAAACGAGGTGAGATGGGTGCGGAGGGAGGGGAACGTAACGGAAGGGCATGTGGAAGGAAGCGAGTGGAGGTGGAGGAGGTGGTTGGCCGTGGAGAGAGCTTGGGGTTGGCTGGCCCTGAATCAGGCATGCTAAGGGGCCAGTCGTATGACAATCACCACATACCTCCACATACATTCCTGGTACGGTAACTTCCACGCACCTTCCAGGAGTATCTGTTGACCTTCCTCTCACGTATCGATAGGAGTGGAGTGTACCTTAAAAAAACACAGTGAACCTTTCGGTGCACCTTCCACGCACCTTCCAGTAGTAGGGCTGGATCTGCCAGGCCCCGAGGCCAAAGGCAGTGGCACACGGCAGCAGCAGCAGCGCCACCGCCAGCCACGAACGCCTTGGGGGGGATGGGGGTGCTGCTGGTGGTGGTGGTGGGAGGGAGTAAGGGAGGGTGGAGTGCAAGTGGAGTGAAGGGAGAGGAAAGGACAGGCAATGGGAGCAAGTGATGGGGGAGAGTGACTGAGTCGCAACAGCAGCAGTAACATTGTCTGCCACGCATGCTGCTGCTACTGCGATGGTGGCGTGAGAGAGACGCCGGAGTTTTGAAATGGCGAGTGTTGCAGAGGGGGGTGGAGCAGAGCTTTACGGATTCCAAGTCGTGGACAGTGCAACTGAAGGGGTGAGATGCTGTTGAGAGGAAGGAACCATGTCTGGGGTCTGGTGGAGAGAGAAGGCGAATCCGAGTGGGGAAATGGGGCGACGAGAGGACGAAAGAGGGGGTAACCGGGGGGGGTGGTGGCGGGAGGGGGTTTGGAGGGTAGGAGGGGAAAAACGAATGGCGGGGTGGTGAGGGGTGGTGAGGGATGACGTCGTGCAGGAGTGATGATTGAGGATAGATAGACGTAGGAAGGGAGGAGAGGAGACAGGCATGGAGGGAGGGAGGGAGGGAGGGAGGGAGGGAGGGAGGGAGGGAGGGAGGGAGGGAGGGGAGGGAGGGAGGGAGGGAGGGAGGGAGGGAGGGAGGGAGGGGGGGAGGGAGGGTTGGAGGGAGGGAGGGAGGGAGGGAGGGAGGGAGGGAGGGAGGGAGGGAGGGAGGGAGGGAGGGAGGGAGGGAGGGAGGGAGGGAGGGGGGAGGGAGGGAGGGAGGGAGGGAGGGAGGGAGGGAGGGAGGGAGGGAGGGAGGGAGGGAGGGAGGGAGGGAGGGAGGGAGGGAGGGAGGGAGGGAGGGAGGGAGGGAGGGAGGGAGGGAGGGAGGGAGGGAGGGAGGGAGGGAGGGAGGGAGGGAGGGAGGGAGGGAGGGAGGGAGGGAGGGAGGGAGGGAGGGAGGGAGGGAGGGAGGGAGGGAGGGAGGGAGGGAGGGAGGGAGGGAGGAGGGAGGGAGGGAGGGAGGGAGGGAGGGAGGGAGGGAGGGAGGGAGGGAGGGAGGGAGGGAGGGAGGGAGGGAGGGAGGGAGGGAGGGAGGGAGGGAGGGAGGGAGGGAGGGAGGGAGGGAGGGAGGGAGGAGGGAGGGGAGGGAGGGAGGGAGGGAGGGAGGGAGGGAGGGAGGGAGGGAGGGAGGGAGGGAGGGAGGGAGGGAGGGAGGGAGGGAGGGAGGGAGGGAGGGAGGGAGGGAGGGAGGGAGGGAGGGAGGGAGGGAGGGAGGGAGGGAGGGAGGGGGGAGGGAGGGAGGGAGGGGAGGGAGGGAGGGAGGGAGGGAGGGAGGGAGGGAGGGAGGGAGGGAGGGAGGGAGGGAGGGAGGGGGAGGGAGGGAGGGAGGGAGGGAGGGAGGGAGGGAGGGAGGGAGGGAGGGAGGGAGGGAGGGAGGGAGGGAGGGAGGAGGGAGGGAGGGAGGGAGGGAGGGAGGGAGGGAGGGAGGGAGGGAGGGAGGGAGGGAGGGAGGGAGGGAGGGAGGGAGGGAGGGAGGGAGGGAGGGAGGGAGGGAGGGAGGGAGGGAGGGAGGGAGGGAGGGAGGGAGGGAGGGAGGGAGGGAGGGAGGGAGGGAGGGAGGGAGGGAGGGAGGCACGGATGTAGCACCGAGCACCTCTCACCTGTTCCTGCAGCAGTCGACAGCAGCCGGGCAGGCAGCACCGGGACCAGTTGGGCATGCAAAGCTGGTCTCTGAGGTGGTGCTGAACGGACGGCTGAGATCCCGCGCACAGAATCAACGGCTGGCGTCGTTCGAATGGCCCCAAAGGAGGTCCAGGCGTTGGAAGCATGACGTGCGCTCGCAAGCAGTGGTGAGGCGCAGGGCAGCAGTTGCTGTGGCTGTGGCTGTGGATGGGCATGACTACTCAGTGTCAGTGACTCCACATGGAGGAGCGCGTGCGCACATGCTGCTGTGCTGGGCCGCAGCGGTTGCACACACGCTGCTGCTATTGGCCACTGAATGCCCTTTGTCCCCTCTGGGCCTTGCCACGGCGCCGCCGTGCCATGCTTCGCAGCACTTGCTATCTCGGCAGGTGAATATTCAAAAGCTCCAGAAGGCCCTGCTGCTGCGGCAGCACGACCCGTGCTCGCATGGGTGCTTCTAGACTCACGGGCCGCGCGCAGAAACCCGCGACACACGCGATGCAACGACATGCGCTGCTGCTGCTGCTGCTGCTGCTGCTGCTGCTGCTGCTGCTGCTGCTGCTGCTGCTGCTGCTGCTGCTGCTGCTGCTGCTGCTGCTGCTGCTGCTGCTGCTGCTGCTGCTGCTGCTGCTGCTGCTGCTGCTGCTGCTGCTGCTACTGTGCTGTGTGGGGTGGATAGGAGATGGGTGGGACTGTGCTGGGCGAGACGAGGTGGCAGAGAGCGAGTGCGCCGTTGGATCCACGGCCGCACGGCGTGCAAGGACAGGGCTCTAAGGCACCCCGCCGCGCCACCTGCACGTCTCTCGGGACCTCCTCAGCCTGATACCAAGGTGACTCTTGACTCTCGACTCTTGAGTCAGACTCAAAAGTCACCGTGTTATTACGATCAACGCCGCCGCTCGTCCGCCTCGTCTATCACTCGGGCTCGTCAGGGTCGGCGGGATTGTCAGGGTCGTCGAGGTCGGCGGGATCGGCGGGATCGGCGGGATCGGCGGGATCGGCGGGATCGGCGGGAACCGTAAGGTTGTCGTGTCGGTGGGACGACAGACGTGTCGCGAGGGGGAGCGAACGGTATGCGAACAGCGGCTAGCAGTGCTGGCGCGTGAGTGAAGCAGCGAGCCGCTCGGGGAGGTGCGGGATGCGCGAGGGTGCGAGATGGGCGAGGGGCGGTGGTGCGGGAGAATGAAGGGGCAGAGGAAACAATAGCTATTGTTTCGCCAAGATTTCAATTGGTGCGAGTTCGCGTGGGAAAGGGCCGTGGTGCGTTCCGGAGGTTCGAAACGACGGCTCAAAGATACCAGCTTCGATCTGTAAACGCGCCCTCGTATCCCAACCTTGTTCCTTATGGCGCAAGACGCTTCTCCAGCACAACGGCTACTCGCTCGCGTCGCCTACTAACACAGTCGGACGATCGGCTCTGCCTGCGAGCACTGGACGGATCGCAAGCGCTCAAAATTGAAGTCTACCTGCCGAGCGACCTTTTCTTCTCCTTCGTCAGACTCCTCTTTCGTTCGCTGTCGTGCTGTTTCTCCGCGCTGTGCGCCAGACAAACTGCGAGCAGCGGTCCGAAGCATACGTTCTTCCCTTTTGGGAGAGTCTCTGTAACGCGCCGCGTCCCAGACCGCTGGACAAAAACGGGGGTTATTCAGAGCCGCACCGCAGCAGTTGCTTTTTAACTCTTCGTTGATTTCGCAGACGTTACAGTCTCTCTGGCCCGCGCGACGCGTCTCCACCTCGTGGCGACGCACGCGACTGCCAGCGACTGCAGATGCAGCAGGCGAGCATCCGTGCGACGTGCGATGACCTGCATCAGTTGCGACAGCCGGCGACGGCGGACCTGGCGCTGGCGACGCTGTTGGGCGACGACGCGCGATGGTTCGGATGGTCGCCGGAGGGTCGCCTGCGATGCACGCTGTCACAGCACGAGTTCCCAATCCGCGCTGAACACGTGGCGGGTCTAGTCGCCGTCGCACAGTCGCAAGACGCGTCGCTGCTTGAATCCCGCTGCGATTCGTCACAGCAGTCGCAGCCTCAACAGTCGCAGCCACAGCTGTCGCAGGAGGCGTGGTCGCAGCAGCAGTGGCGATCCGTGCGACAGCACGTGCGATCCAAGGCCTTCGCAGCAGCAGCGGCGGTGGCAGAGGCGATGGAGAGAGCAGCGCCGCACATCGTGGCGTGCCCGCATGACAGGTGGAGGGGGGGGGAGGAGAGGGGGATGGGAGCACACCCGCACGACAGGTTGGGGGGGGGAGAGGGGCATGAGAGCATGCTTTTTTCCAGTTAAGTTGGGAGACGGGGAGGGTTGGGATATATGGCCCGGGCGGGGATGGGTGCATGGGCGGGGATGGTTGCATGGGCAGGGATGGGTGCATGGGCGGGGATGGTTGCATGGGCAGGGATGGGTGCATGGGCGGGGATGGTTGCATGGGCAGGGATGGTTGCATGGGCAGGGATGGTTGCATGTGAGGGGATGGGTGCATGTGAGGGGATGGGTGGATGTGAGGGGATGGGTGCATGTGAGGGGATGGGTGCATGTGAGGGGATGGGTGCATGTGAGGGGATGGGTGCATGTGAGGGGATGGGTGCATGTGAGGGGATGGGTGGGACACACAGCACCATGCACTGCTGCACTGGCCCGCCTCCTCCATGCCCTTCCAGCTGCATCCTTCAATCAACGCACATACACTTCCTGCGCATCCATGCATGACCCATCCATGCATGACCCATCCATGCATGACCCATCCATGCATGACCCATCCATGCATGACCCATCCATGCATGACCCATCCATGCATGACCCATCCATGCATGACCCATCCATGCATGCATGACCCATCCATGCATGACCCATCCATGCATGACCCATCCATGCATGACCCATCCATGCATGACCCATCCATGCATGACCCATCCATGCATGACCCATCCATGCATGACCCATCCATGCATGACCCATCCATGCATGACCCATCCATGCATGACCCTATCCGTGCATGACCCATGCATGCATGACCCATGAAAGCATGACCCATGCATGCATGACCCCATCCACATTCATGCACGTCTCACAAGCACCACCATGCCACCGTGCCCCATGCAACAGTATACACAGTGTGCACACGCCTCCTCCCTTCCAATCCAATCCTCGTTTTGCTGCCATGGACTCCTCAATCGCCTTCAACCAATCCCATCCATCCCACCCCGGCCATTCAACCCTCTCCGTTGCACATCCCTCCATGCAGCACGCATCTGCAGTGCGCCCTCACAGGCAGCACCATCGCTCGCACCGCAGCAGCCATCCGCCGCCACACCGCAGGCCACCGCTTTCAAGCTGCTCTCGGTATGCCCCTCTCACGCTCACCCCTCGCATCCACACTCACCCCTCGCATCCACACTCACCCCTCGCATCCACACTCACCCCTCGCATCCACACTCACCCCTCGCATCCACACTCACCCCTCGCATCCACACTCACCCCTCGCATCCACACTCAACCCCCTTCCCTCCTGCCTGCCTCCTCACACTCACCAATTGGAATCTTCCCTCGGTATGCCTTCTGAGTCGCTTGCGAGTTGCCTCAAAGTACGAAGCACTTTCACTGTGGTTGGTTGGTTGGCACAGCAGCAGCCATCCACCGCCACACCGCAGTCCACCGCTTTCAAGCTGCTCTTGGTATGCGATCCTGACACGCACCTCTTAAAAGCTGCTCTTGGTATGCCTTCGTAGTCGCCTCAAAGTACAAAGCACTGCACTGTCACTCTAGTTAACGCTACGGTGCCCTCAGTATGCCTTCTACCCACCCGCACTCATCGCTTCCTTCCTAAGCTCTCCCATGGGCTCACTCTCTCTGGTAATATTGCCCCACTGTTTTCTGCCATGCCATGTGCCCACCCAGGCCGTCAGGTTCCACCCTTGTTCTGTGAGGTGATTGTCTTTCAGCTTTTTGTGTATCGATGTTTCATAGCCATTCCGTGCCATCACCAACCTATGATATCACCCCCATGCCACCACCCCCTTATGCCACCACCCCTCATGCCACCAACCCCCATGCCACCACCGCCCATGCCACCAACCCCCATGCCACCACCCCCCATGGGCAGCCAGATTGGAGCCCGAGAAGGCTGCTGCACAGCGACTGGATCAGGTGAGTTGGCCGTTTGGGTGCTGTGATGGTGTGTTGGAATGCTGGTGTGCTGGTATGGTGGCCTGGTGGAGTGCGGGTGTGGCGGTGTGCAGGCATGGTTACATGGTGGTAGTGGCGTCGTTGCTATGGTATGGTGTGTACGTATGTGATGCTGGTCTGATTGTTGTGTTGTGATGTTTACGTGTGTTCGTTTTGTGCGGTGCGTGGCGTGTGGTGTGCGTTGTGAGTCTAGTGGAGGAGGGTGGGCAACTCACTGCAACAGTCCTCCTGCCCACGTCTGCATATCGACCAGTGCATTGCAAATGAGGGCACCCGTCTAGACCATTTGGTGTGTTGGTGTGTTGGTGTGTGGTGTGGTGCATAGTGGGGTTTGGTGGAAGGGGATGGGCAACTCACTGCAACCAGTCATGCTGCCTGCGACTCCATGCCACCCAGGGCACGGCAAAGGAGGGCAATGCCTGTCGCGAGCATTGATTCTAACCATGCCTATGGGCCTGGATGTGTGTGTGTGTTACTGTGTGCTTCTGTTTGTGCATGTGCATGTTGTGCGAGGGTGGTGATGCGGGCATGATCCCACCACCAGTGGCAACAAGCCATTGGAGCGCAGCAGCAGCAGCAGCAGCAGCAGCAGCAGCAGGGCCTAGCAGAACAGGCTGTAGCATTGCAGCAGTGGTGTCTCCCAGACAACACTTGTGCAGTGCTGGCAGCAGACGGACGAGATGTAGCGCATGCACCACTGCAGCCCCAGCAGCCCATGGCATCGATACAATCACAGCAGCCCATGGCATCGTTACAATCACAGCAGCCCATGCCATCGATACATTCACATGCCATGCATGGTCCAATGGAAGGCACAGGTGTGCTACATGTCCCCAGCATGAATGAGGATCAACCCATGCGTGACGACACCCCCTGCGAGGCATCACCGTAAGTCTTGCTATGCCCCTGATGCAGTGCCCATTCGTGCCGTGCCGCGTGACTCTATCTTTGCCGTGCCTCATACCCATTCATGCCATGCCTCGTACCCATTCAACCTTGCTTCATCCTGCCATGACCATGTGCTCGATTGTATGTCTCTTATTCGTCTCTCTCATGCTTCCACGTCCAGTATGTGTCATGCCATTCTATGTGCCGAATGCATGCAATGCAACCACCATCTCCCCCAGTCCAGCTTTGTTGCATACTGGTTACCGCGTGTCAATCATGCAACGCATGCCCTTGCATACCATCCCTCAGGAACTGCACAATCATTCACTCAATAGCATGCCGTGCCACGCCTTGTCGCATAGCGCATGCATTTGCGTGTCGATGGGCCACACACAGCACCCGTGCGCTCTGCTCTGCCATACCATGCAATGCAATGCAATCTTGTGCCATGTATCCTGATCCTTGCAGCCAAAAAAGGACCGCGGTGGGCTCTGTTGGTCCGCGCTTCAATGCTCCACGCCACAAGAAAAGATGACCTCGAGTGTAACCTGGATTTACTTTTACAGTATGCTTGGTGGTGTTTCTTGTGGGGGAATTTTCCCTTCCTGCCTACACTGTATTCGGTGACAATTTTATATGCGATGCAGCCCGTGCACATTAAAATCTGTCTATACAACTCTATAATACATCACACGTCACTACAATCAGGAGGCCCTTGTTCACTGATAGTCAGGGTGTAGCAGCGAAAGTGCTTTGCAATTGGGAGAAATGTGAACTCAACAGTGATGATTACCTACCATAAGCAATGTGCGTAATGATTCATTATGATACAACCAGGCCCTACGATATCAGGATTTTTTCCCTGAAATTCCTGATTTTCAGGGATTTTTTTGTACCTACACTGATTTTTCAGTGTTGAGAATTTTGTGACACTGATTTTTCAGCCTTTATTTCATAGTTGACACTGATTTTTCAGTCTTTTATCGAAGTGTACACTGAATGCACATTCCGAATCCTTCCTGTCAACCAACATTTTCTGATTTTTCACGTACGAGAACCTAAGAGATTGAAGGTTTAGTGGATCAACTGTCTCAGTGGTTTGTGATTTTCTACAGACGGGTAAGGGCCCGGTTCGAATCCATCCGCTATCATGTTTCGTAAAGCCTACCCTTGTATACAAGGTTTTCATTTGCTTGAAAATTCAGGCTTTGTTTTTTAGGAACCCTGAAAATTCAGGGTTTTTTTTTTAGGAACACTGAAAATCAGGGTTTTGTTCACAGGGACCCTGATGCATCAACGTCCCTTAAAGTGAATCTGAGGGCCTGGATACAACAATTGAAGTGACGCCCACCATTGCATTGTCAGAGGAACAGTCTCTATAAACAGCATGTCATGGATGGAAACACGTAGCTCACTTACGCAGCTGCAAGCGACACTGGGGCAGCTTGGTTGACATACATGACATCAGATCAGCAGACCAGAATGGGTGCACAAGGGGGTGTCACTGCCTCTGGTGTGTGGAGGAGCTCGACTCAGCATTCACGATGTCAGCTGGGAGGAGGGAAGGCCACAAAGGAGGAACGGATATATCTGTTGGGAGGAGAGAATGGAACATGGTGAATGGCGCGTGGTGGACATGGTGAGAAATGGAGATATGGCACAACGGATACAGCTGGAGCAGCAGGAGGAAGCAAAAACAAGAGGTTGATAATGATGACTTTATGAATTGATAGGTTGAGCTGCAAGGGTTGGTTGTACAGCACATGATTGACAGGTTAGAAGCTTAGACAGGGTTGAGGAGGTCGGATTCCCTCCACCCCCTCTGTTGACCTCCCCCCAGCAACTCCCGACCCTGCCAACCTCCCCTCCTTCGCCCTCCATTGAGGATGGCGGTTACCTGAAGAGGCGGCGGCATGACGAACAGTTGGTGCAGTGGCGTGATGGGCACGAGAGGCCGCCGCATGAGGACCCGCAACGGCTGTAGCAGCCGTGGCACGAATGGCTGTAGTGGCAGCAGGAGGAGCAGCAAGAAGGTCGGCACGAGGAGCAGCAGCGGGTGCATGACTGCCTGCAGCTGACGGCGCCCCCGTAGCTGACGTTGCAGTCGCAGACTGACCCCCGGGAAAAGAAGAATGGGAAGGGAAGAGAGGAAGAAAGGGAAGGGAAAACGAGAATACATTAACCGGATGAGTTCTGATCTTGTCAGCAAGAGTGACCTACATGACTTGCACTCTTTAGAAGGGCGAGTGCGAGCCCACAGCACTACGTAATACGACTGAAAACATCAGCATAAACGCATATGAGTACAGGGTTTACCTACCAGCAGCTCCAGCACTGGCCAGAATTGGAGAATCTTAGAGATTTTCTCACAGAAAGCATCTACAAGAATGCTGGCATGGCAACCAAATCGCTTTATGAAAGCAGCACTAGCGGAAAGCTGGAGGTTGGACTCACATGGTTGGCATGGTAACTGATGACAGCTCGCTCGTCGTGATTCCCATTCTCCATACTTTGCAGTGTCCCCTCCTCCCCCCCCTCGTCAACATCCCTTCCCTCCTCTGCCACCACTGGTCCTGTTGCAACTGCTCTCGCTCTATCGATGTAACACGCGCTTTCAGCTGAGTAAAAGTGTCCCTGCAAGAGGATTTATGGCCAGGCACACATGACATGATTCACACTCGATAAGAGGTTGATCTCTAGCGTCGTGTACCATATCCTTACTTACTCTAGAGTGTTCCAACTTCAGAATGTATGCTACCAACAGAGTGAAAAGTCATGTTACTGGGGTTGCTGGCAAGACGCACGTCGCACCTTAGCGCAGGTATATCGAACGGCGACGGGGGCTTGCATGGTGCTTTTGGTGTTGGATCCACTGTTTATGATCAAGCTGCAAGCTGCAGTGGTGTCCCAGACCTGCCAAACGATTCAGGCAGTGTCACTACTTGTTCAAAAGGGGAAAGCGAAAAGAAACATAGATGGGGAATATTCTGGTTCTTCTTTTCTTAACAACAGTCTGCTGTGATTTGTCTATTGCAAACGAACAAGATAATGAGCAAGACACACCTTAGAAGAGCAGAAAGGGCAGGACTCGTCTTGCATTGCACGGAGGAGCGACTGGTATGTGTATAATACCGCCTGATGGCAAGAAAAAGGATATCGTGAGGAGATAAAACGAGTAACAATCCTTCTTCAGAAATAAACCTCTGGATTGTGGTCTCTTCACTAAAGCCTACCTAGCAGATTCCAAACGGCAATCAACACATGGTTCATTGCGGACCTCCTCTAGGTCCAGGAGGCCCAAGGGTCCCCGGACCCTACACCACAAAGGGCGCCCTGATGGCCTGATATTTGATTGACGGGCTGGCTGGTTGGTGTACAAACCTCGCTTACCATCCCCATACCCCAGTTCTCTCGCGCTCCTCCCTCCTCCCCTCTATCCCTTGCCATTACCCGTGGCACCCGTGCACCTACCTGCCAGCCTAGTTTTCCAAGTAGCCTTGCCTAGTCCTTGATAGAACTGCACGGCTTACCACGTTTGCTCTACATGCCTTTTTAATTCAATGAACAAGACCGTTCTAGAAAAAGCTGAAAATAACGCAGCAGAGCATTCGAAAGAAAGAGCATTAACATGAAGCGCGAGCAGAAGTGGTGGACTTACAAGTCAAGGTTGGGGCCAACATAAAGTCCTTGTTTAAGATGCAAATCATCCTGTCCGTCCTGATGACAGAAGCACCAAATGGTAAAAGCCATACAATTAAAACGGATTAACCTAGCGGGCCCATGCAAGCGCATGTGCGGCTTATCACTGTCACGCTCTTGCTCGTCTCCTGGAACTCGCCAACCCCTTCTCACGCCAGGGCACCAGTGGATAACTTGTGCGAGGGCTCTAAAGTCCACCCCGATCATCTGCTCCAGCATGAGCCGAAAATGTTTGCGCATGGATGCTTCAAACTCATCGTCGCCGCTCGGATTCTGAACCCGAAGTTTGTTCTCAAGGAGCTCAGAGAGTTTCTCCCGACAGTTCAGCTGCCACAGGGACTCCTTTGCCATGCGATTAAGCGCTTTCGAAAGGCACGCCATCTGCGCTATTAATACATGAGGCTCTGTTGGCTCTGCGCGGCGCAGAATGGAGTAAAGGAGGTCGCCAGGAAGCGAGTCCATGGCGGATCAAACCTAGCGGACCACGTAAGGGATGGGATCGAAAACACTCAAATGCTGGATCTACGATTGATGCGAGTCGGAATGGTGACCGGGTATGTCGCGATGGTGCGATCTATGGTGTGACGGACTTCTGGATGCCAGAAACGGTCTAACGGGCGTAAGGTGAGCAGGAAAGTGGCAAAGGAGTGTGCATTGGTTCGGTAGATCCACGAGCCACGGTGGGACGTTCGGAATCAGCCAGACATATCTTTCCGTGCCTAGCCGTACTGACGTGGTTCGAATGCCATCAAGGTGACAACGCGATTGCCATACCGTGAGAGGGCTGGCAGACTGTGGGGGCACAGGAAGCTGTGAGGCGGGAAACCTAACCTCGAGACTACTTCCATTGCCAATCCGTGGATTCGATCGAAATGACAATGGCTTTGCCACATCGTGAGTGGGCTGACAGTTTCTAGGGCTGCAGAGAGCTTCGAGATGCGAAAGCCAACCTCGGTGTGCTTTCCGTCGTTGGACTGTGAAATGACGAGCGTAGCTAGCGCGACCAATCTCAGGAAACCTGATTGTAGGTGAGTGGGAGTCGAGGACTTGGGAGTGGAGGGAAGGAGAAACCTTGGGAGTTGGGGGAACTACTGCGCAGTTGTTCAGTAAATGCGGTTCAGTTGGATCTCTCAAGATAAAATACGGTTTCAGAAAACGTCAGGTGTGGGATGGTAAACCAATCTGGAGCTGGGGGCGGGAAAAACGAAGCATGGAAGAATGGTGGAAACAAAACGGTTGACTACGGTTTTGTGTGAAGTAGGACGATTATATGACTTCATCGTTTGGTGAGGGCGTGGAACTTTCTGAGCGGCTTTCGTCAAAATTGTTTCGCGAAATTCGTTGGTCGCAAGTATCACCCGCCCTAAGCGTGTGTTTTTGAAAAGAACCCGTTTTCAGCGTTGAACTGGCGTGATAGATGATCTACTTCAAATTTAGGCAGACAATCCAATATCGATCGAGTCGAGCCCAGTCTCGAATCGCCAAACCTGCTCACACAGCGCATCATACAAGAAGTAGTAGTAGAAGCCTCGAACAGAAAAACCGACCGATATCGCGCATCGTCGTGACGATGCTGGCGGCGTTCGCAGCGGAGGTCGTCGTCTTCCATTCCTCCGAGTTCTGAGGTGCCTCAAAACTCTTACGCCTCTAAGCAAGCGATCGCGTCACACTCGTATTGTAATATTAATATCATCGGAGGAAATAAACGAGCGATCGCGTCGTCTCGTGTAGTAAAAACCGGGGGAAACTTTCGAGCGAGTGATAACGCACGAGGAGTCGCGATGCTGGCGGCGTTCCTCGCGGCGCTCGTCTTCTTTCATTCCTCCGAGTTCCTCCTCGCGCTCTGCTCCACCGGCAAACCCGATGTCCGATGTACGCCTCCTCGCCTCTCCTTCCCCTCGCCTCGCCTCCTCGCCTTCCTCTCGCCTCGCCTCCCCTCGCCTCGCGTCGCCTCCCAATCGCCTCGCCTCGCCTTCCCCTAGCCTCGCCTCGCCTCCCCCGCTTCTCGTTCCCTTCTCTTCTCGCTCGCTTCGCCTTCTCCCCCTCCTCGCCAATCCGTCCACTCTCCTCGCCAATCCGTCCACTCTCCTCGCCAATCCGTCCCCTCTCCTCGCCAATCCGTCCCCTCTCCTCCGCGTCTCTGGCAAGGGCGCTGATTGCGGGGCGCTGTGTTAACACTTCAATGCGCCCCCACTCTCCCATCCCTCCGGCCTTACCCATCCCCTCCATCCACCGCTACAGCCATCTTTGTCGCACAGGGGGAACTTCCCTTCCCTTCGCTGCATTGCCCCTCCCCTCCCCCATCTATCCCGCCAGTCTCATCCTTCCCGTCCCTTATCACTCCTTATCTCCCGGCCGCCCACCCTCATCCTGCTCCCTTCCCCTCCCCACCGCCCTGCCCCTTTCTGTGGCCCGTGGCGCCTTTTCAGGTGGTGTCTGAGAATTCTCAAGAACCTATAGGGGCCACAGATAGGGGCTGAGGATTCTCAAAAGCCGCCTGCGCTGTTGTGGAGCCCGCTGGTCGTGGGGTTGGTGCTGCTGCTGGCGGTCTGTTCAAAGTTCGCTTTCCCTCCCTCCCGACACGCTTTCCATCCCTCTCCCCCGCACCCCACCTCCCGCTAGCCATGCAGCCTTCCTCCTCTCGCGGGAGTATCTGCTCGCCATGGGGGCAGCGCTCACTGAATACGCCCTCGAGACTGCCCTCTTCCCAGCCTTCAAGCACCGCCTGTGGCCCGTGTCGTGGGTGGGGGGGGCGCTGCTGCTGGCGGGGGAAGCGGTGCGCAAGGCAGCCATGGTGACGGCGGGGCGGAGCTTCACTCACGATATTCAGACGGAGAAGAGGCGCGAACATCGTCTGGTCACACACGGGCTTTACAGGTGGGCGTAAATTGGTTGGTTCGGGAGGGGTGCTGGGGGCACTGGTGGTGGCGGGGGAAGCGGTGCGCAAGGCAGCCATGGTGACGGCGGGGCGGAGCTTCACTCATGACATTCAGACGGAGAAGAGGCGCGAGCATCGACTGGTCCCACACGGGCTGTACAGGTGGGCGCTGGAAGGGTTATTCGGTGTTAAGTAGGCCGTGTGTGAGCTGATGTGATCTGCCCAGACGCCCAGTACAGGTGGCAGCTGGATGGGCGCTCGTGTTTTCTGCGAAGGCGATGCTGGGGTTCGCTGGCGCATTCATGTGGGCTCAGAAGGCAGCAGTTTCAACCACTGCGAGGAGACTGTGCATGCTGGGTGGCTCTTCACGTGCCTGTTTTCACTAGCGTGCTGCGGCGCTCCTCTGCATGCACCGCCAGCCAGCACTGCATGCACCGCCAGCCAGCACTGCATGTACCGCCAGCCAGCACTGCATGTACCGCCAGCCAGCACTGCATGTACCGCCAGCACTGCATGTACCGCCAGCCAGCACTGCATGTACCGCCAGCACTGCATGTACCGCCAGCCAGCACTGCATGTACCGCCAGCACTGCATGCATGTGCAACCACCCATCCAGTGCCCTCCCCACGGTCCCATGGCAGGTGGGTGCGCCATCCGGGCTACACGGGGTGGTTCATGTGGAGCATAGCCACGCAGCTGCTGCTAGTCAACCCCCTCTGCACGCTCGCCTTCGCCCTCGTCTCCTGGCGCTTCTTTGCCGCGCGCATCCCGTGAGTCACCCGCTTGTTTGTGTAGGCATTCTCCAAGTTACCCTGTGAGCGCTTAGGCATCCCGTGAGTTACCCTGTGGTCACAGAGGGCATCCCGTGAGTCACTCTCTTTCCACCGTATGCATTTCTGTTTTGTTGCGCGGAGCGATGGGGGTGGGAGCTGCTGTGCCGTGAATCGCCCTCGTCTCCTGGCGCTCCTTCACCGTGCGCATCCCGTGAGTCACCGTGTGTGCGCAAAGGCATTCCATGAATTACGCTGTGACCACAGAGGGACTGGGGGGCGCTGCAGTGTTTTCAATCGCCCTCGTCTCCTGGCGCTCCTTCGGCCGTGCGCGTCCCGTGAGTTGTCCTCTTGCTTGTGCACCCTTCATCCCGTGAGTTACTGCCTTGCTTGCGTAGGCATCCTGTGAGTTACCCTGTGGGCGCAAAGCTGGAGGCTCTTCCAGGCACCTCTCCCGTCTCATTGCACCATGCCCTCTGCACTTTAAACCCGAAGCCCCGCCCCCCCCGTCCCGCACCGTGTCCCCCCCCACTCCAGCTACGAGGAGTTCTATCTGCACCAGTTCTTTGGCCTGGAATACGCGCGATACGCGGCCTCCGTGCCGTCAGGCATTCCCTTTGTCTCTTGACGCTGGACCTCTGCTCCCATTCCTTTCCTGGGGAGCACACCCCAGTCCGGTAGCAGCACGGCATGATTTTTGAGAATTCTCAAAAACACCCCGGTCCGGTAGCAGCACGGCATGACCATTAATTAGGCGCCTCACAAACAGTGGGCCTTGGCTCCCATTCCTTTCCCCGAAAGCACTAACCGCTAGCAGTATGGCGCGAGTCGCGCGACCCATGCTGGAAAGCCTTGGCTGGAAAGAGCTTCAACAGCAGCGCATGAGCTTAGCACTGCCAACCTGAGGCGGCGCAGAATAAAGTACAGGTTCTTGCTAATGCAGTGCATGGCTTACTAGTGCACAACATGCCTTTCCTGTACGACAGCCATGGGCTGCAAGCAGCAACATACTGGTACGGTAGTACGGTACCTGTTTGGAGCCGTCTAGCAGCCGTCAGATGCAACTAAAATCCTGTCTGAAATATCTGAGTCGCTTACAACAAAAGGGTTCAATTGATCAAAGTCAGATTCAAGGACTGCTTTAAAGCAAACGACAAATACATGGCTGGCTGATTGACCAGTGATATATTCAATTGCAGTTCTACACTTGCATTCGTGTGTTGTGTAGCAGCTCAGCATATAACCAATCTTCCGCAAACACCGCACTACAATGAGTTGTATTGTAACGCGGGTGGAAATGCAACATTGAAGTTGTGTAATTTATTTCTTGCGAAGGCAGATTGTTCGTGAGACCCCCATAGCGATTTTTAGGGTGCGACTCGGAAAGCCTTCAATACGCAGAAGGAGCCTTGCTAATTAGTAACTCACCCAAGTCTAGCAATTTCCCTGTTCCCAGCGCCAGTGTCGCGCGCGCGAAGGTGAACATTGTGTCCCAGGACAATGCTCCGGGCCTCAAGTCGATTCCAGCCAGGCCCTCTTTAGGCTGGTTCAGGCACCCGAACGGAAGCCTTTCGGGATCAGTTGGGTGACAGAGCGGCGGTACCAGCTGTCGTCTAGGCACAGCGGCGCCGCAATGCAGCCAAAGGGAGGCGGCGCGGCGGGGCTGGCGGCCTCCGCGCAGGTTGCGCCTACGACGGGCCCCGCCGCAACCGCTGGCGCGGCTGGCGGCGGTGGAACGACGGGAACCGCAGGCGGAGGCAAGGCGAAGGGGACGAAACGTGAGGAATGGGGCGTGGGTGAGAGGGATTGGGTGTGAGTGCGAGGGCATGCGGTGTTAGTGCGAGGGCATGCGGCGGTGGGTTATGTCCCCAGCGCCATGCATCGAGTGGCATGTCCCCAGGCTCGTGGGCACGAATGGGTGTATGGCGCTCTGTGTCCGCGTGGGGTGCGTGTGCATTCGAGTCGCCAAAACAAGACGCCCACACCTCTCGCCTCAACCCCTTCACATCTCCCCTCATTCCCGGTGCCACCCCCCCCGCCAGAACCAGCCACTGCACACAAACCCTGCCACTTTCACTCCTCTACAATCACTTCATCCACTCCTCTCATTCCCGCACACTTCCCCCCTCTTCCCCCACCCCTTGCCCCTTCTGCCCGCCCTCACCCGCCCAGGCGGGGCGGCAGCAGCGAGGCTCAAGAATATGTCCTTTCGCCCCCTCCTCCTCTCATTCTCGCACTGCACACCCTTCTCTCCCCCCCCTTTCCTCCCCCCCGTCCCCATTCCCTCCCTTCTGTCCCCCTCTGCCGCCCTCACTCACTCCCCCAGGAAGAGCAGCAGGCGCAGCGGCATGGAGGCCAACGAAGATGTCCGCCGCCCCGTCGGTCCCGACTCCCCACACCTTGGCCCGCTTTACCCGCCCTCACTCCGCCAGGCGAAGCAGCAGGCGGGGCGGCAGCGGTGAGGCCCAAAAAGATGTCCAAAGCAGATAACCTTTCACCACGTCCTTTTGTTCTCGCAACCCCCAAACCCTCCCCCCCCTTCCCACCGCCCCTCCCCCCCTTTTTCCCGCACCAGGCGGAGAGCAGCAGGCGGGGCGGCAGCGGCGCGGCCCAAGAAGATGTCCAAAGCAGCTGTCCGCCTCCCCCTCATTCCCCACCGCTTGCCCCCCTCTGCCCCCCTTTTACCTGCCGTCACTGTGCCAGGCGGGGCAGCGGGGGGAGCGGCGGCAGCGCGGCCCAAGAAGATGTCCAAAGCAGCTGCCGCTGCTGCTGCTGCAGCGGCTCAGAGGCAGGCGGCAGGTGGGCGGCAGTGAAGGGTGGGGTGGCAGGCAGGTGGGCGGCAGTGAAGGATATGTTAATTATCCTGTAAGCCGAGTGAGGTGAGAAACGAGAGTTGGGAGGTGGGAGGTGAGGGTGCTAAGTGCGCAGCAGTCCCTTCCCATGTGCCTGTTATGCAGTGACGATGCAGGGTGACTCGACAATCGCATTCACAGTCCTCTCTTGCCTCCCTCGCTCTTCCCCCCACTTCCTCTGTGCTCTATCTGCTCGTCCAGAGGCAAAGGCAGCAGCAGCTGGAGATGCTACAGCAATTCCTATTGCTCAGCAACAGCAGTCACAGCAGCAGCAGCAGCAGCTAGTGAAGCAGCAACAGCAGCAAGAGCAGCTGCAGCAGCAACAACAACAGCAGCAACAGCAGCAGCAGCAGCACCAACCACTGCAGCACCAGCAGCACCAACAGCAGGAACATCAGCAGCAGCTGCAGCAACAGCGGCATCAGCAGCAGCAGCAACAGAAGCAACACCAACAGCAGCAGCAACGACAGCAGGGGAAGGAGGGGGCGGGTGGAGCAGAGGCGGAGCGGGGCCGGGCGGCAGTGGGGGGAGGCGAGCGCAAGGACAAGAAGGGAGCAGCCAAGCAAGGGGCGCATGCAGGGGGCGCCGCTGCAGGGGGAAAAGTGGCGTGAGTTCATCTGCCTGACTGCTCGCTTTGCTGGATTGTTTGAGTTCGTTATTTCTAATCTCTTTCACATTCTGTTCTGTAGGTGCAGATGTGTGCAAGTTTCTTTGGCCTTGTCTTTTCTTATCTTTCCTTTCCTTTCTTGAACGATGCGGTAACGGCGTCCCTTTTGCTTCCATTAAGCTTGCCGCCTCTCTCCTCCTAGCCCTCTTCCCTGTCCTCTCTCCCCGTTCCCTCTCCCTCTCCCTGTCTCCCCTCTCCCTCTCTCTGTATCCCCTCTCCATCTGTGCTGCAGGGGTGCGTCTGACACCCCGCCTGCCACGGGGCCAGCACATGCTGCCAAGCCAGTCACTGCACCAGCACCAGGCATGCCATCTACTCACACACCCACCCACCCACCTCTCGCACCTCTCCTCCCTCCTTCCCACGCACAGCCACGGCTCTGCCTCTTCTTTTTTTTTTGCTAGACAACAGCCTTTGTTACCCTCGCACTCGCGTTGTGACCCTCTCTTTTTCCGTTTTCAGTCCAAACTTGCTTAACCATGTCTTGACATGCCATGCATTCACTCGCCGCCGTTTTCAATGCTCCACTCACTCTTTTCTGCCATGCCACATGCCACGCATGGCACGCATGGCATCACCCCCCACGGCCATCCCACCTCGCACGGCCAGCAGGCAAGGCGGCGGCGCCAAAGAAGAAAGCGAGTGTCTGCCATCACATCACCCCACCACACCCACAGCGATCTCACCTCTCACCCCTTCCGCCCATCTTAAATCTCACCCCCCCCCCAAGCAGGCAAGCCAGCGGCGCCGAAGAAGAAGGCGAGTGCGTCGCGGCGCAGCACCTTCGACTTCATCCTCAAGCAGTCCAAGCCGCTGCGCAAGGACCAGCAGCCGCCAGGTGTGTTGTTCAGGTTACCAGCAGCCGCCAGGTGTGTTGTTTAGGTTACCAGCAGCCGCCAGGTGTGTTGTTCAGGTTACCAGCAGCCGCCAGGTGCGCACTGGGGTGGGGAATAGCACTCGTAGTAGCAGCCGCCAGGTGCGCACTGGGGTGGGGAATAGCACTCGTAGTAGCAGCCGCCAGGTGCGCACTGGGGTGGGGAATAGCACTCGTAGTAGCAGCCGCCAGGTGCGCACTGGGGTGGGGAATAGCACTCGTAGTAGCAGCCGCCAGGTGCGCACTGGGGTGGGCAATAGCACTCGTAGTAGCAGCCGCCAGGTGCGCACTGGGGTGGGGAATAGCACTCGTAGTAGCAGCCGCCAGGTGAAGCACCTTCGACTTCGTCCGCAAGCAGTGCAAGTCGCTGCGCAAGGACCAGCAGCCCCCAGATGCGCACGTGTTGTGCGGGGAATAGCAGCGCCCAGGTGGGGATAGCAGCGCCCAGGTGGGGATAGCAGCGCCCAGGTGGGGATAGCAAACGTGGGCTTCTTGCCACTCAATGTAACAAACTCGGAGCAAACTCTATGGAATTATAGCAAGCAGAGAATGGAGCAAACTCTAGGCAATGAGAGCATGGATGGCACTTGTGGCTCACAATGAATCAAGTGTCCCAACAATCTTGGTGGGAAGCAGAGGTGGCTTTTGAGTCGCCTCAAAAGTCGCATGGATGGTACTTGTGGTTGTGGCTCACAATGAATGAAGTGTTCCGACAATCTTGGTGGGAGCCATTCGTTGCAGCAACAGAGGGTTAAAGGGATCAGACAGGGAAAGTTCATTTTACCCTCCACTCCATTCTCCACCCTCTCTCCTCCACTCCACAACCTCCGTCCTGCATCCCTCACCTTCCCTCTCCCTCCATCCCTCACCCTCTCTCCTTCCTTCCTTCACCCCTCTCCCCTCCATACCGCTTCCCTTCTCCACCACGCCCTCCCTTTTCCTCCGTTTCAGCCCCCGCGCCACTACCGCTAGCGACGGGCATGCAGCATGCGCGGCACGAGGCGAGGCTGAGGGGCGTGCTGGGGGCGCTCTTCTGGGAGGCCAGCTCACGGGCCATCACCAACCAGAGCACCCCCTCCCCCTCCCCCGCCGCCCTCCCCCTCGCCTCCCACCCCACGCCCTCGCCCTCCTCCCTCCCCCCCACGCCCTCTTCCGCTGCCCCAAATCTGCCCGCCGCCTCCCTCTCCTCATTCCCTGCGACCGCTGCTGCTGCCCATTCTGGTGTGGCCTCTCAGCCGTCGTCTCTGTCACACAGTGCCGCGCCACTTGCCCCGCCCTCCTCCTCCTCCCTGGACCCCCTCTCGCTGCATAAGTTCTCCGAGCTTCCAGGCTCGGGCTTGGGGCTGCCAGGCTTCCAGACCTTGCAGGGAGGCTCGGGAGCAACTGGTTTGGCAGGAGGGGGAGGGGGAGGGGGGAACAGTGGGAGCGGGAGGATGAGGGGAATGGCAGGGGGAGGCATGGGTGGGGGTTCTGGGGGAGGAGGGGAAGGGGAAGGGGGTGCGGGGGGAGCAGCAGTTGCGGGTATGGGCGGGATGGGCGGATACGGGGGTACGTTCAACACGAGTGGAGGCGGGGTGAACTCAGGAGCGGCAGGAGGCAGGGTGGTGGGTGGGATGGGGGCAACGGCAGGCGCTGGAGGGATGGGAGGAGGCATGGGAGGGAATATGGCCAGTCTGGGCATGGGCATGGGCATGGGTATGGGTATGAATATGGGCATGGGCATGGCCATGGGCGCAGGCACAAGTGGTCGTATGGATGCTTCTTTCTCTTCGCCCCCTGCCTCTGCATCCAATCCGCTCTCCCAGTTCTCCTCCCCTTCTGCTGCGCTGCCGGCTGCCATGGCTGCCACTACCACTGCTATGGGTGCGGGTATGGGAGCAGGGATGGGTGCAGGCATGTCTTTTGAGTCCACTCAAAAGGGCATGGGTGCGGGCATGGTTGTGGGCATGGGTTCAAATATGGGTGCTGGCATGGGAGCAGGCATGGGTAGTGGTGTGGGCAGTGCAGGTGGTGCGGGTGGTGGTGGTGGCAGTGGTGGCGGTGGTGGCATGTCATCGTGGCAGGCACAGCCGCATGGGCAAGGGCAGCTGCAGGGGCTGCAACAGGGACAGCAGGGGCAGGGTCAGGGACAGCAGGGGCAGGGGCAGTTGCAAGGGCAGGGGCAGCAGGGGCAACGCGGGCAGGGGCAGCAAGGGCAGGGTCAGCAGGGGCAGTTGCAAGGGCAGGGACAAGAGCAAGGGGGGCAGGAGTTTCACGGGCAGGCAGGGCAAGGCACAGTGCTGCAGGGGGTGGGGGGGGAAGGGGACTTGCAAGGGCGATCGGCGGTGCAAGGGGGAACGGGCGTGCAAGTGGGTGTGCAAGGGGGAGTGCAAGGAGGGGTGGGGCAGAAGGAGCCAAGCAACAGCAAGGGCGCCACTGCTGCTGGTGGTGCCTTGGGGACTGCTGCTGCTGCCACCTCCTCTCCCGCCCCTGCTGCTCCTGCTGCTGCTCCTCAGGTAGGGAAAAAGGGAGTTGAGGACTCTTCAAGTCAGAAGAGGTTAAAGCACTCTCTACTACCGCTCTCTCTCTCTCTCACACATTCGCCTGCTTTCATCTCATGTGTCTCTTTGTCGTTTCTCTCTATCCCATCCCTCAGAAGCCCAAGTCTCGGCCTAAAAAGGCATCAGCCGCAGCCGCAGCAGCAGCAGCGGCTGCAGCAGCAGCAGCAGGAGGAGCAGGAGGAGCAGCGGAAGGAGTTGCGGCTCCGAAGCCCAAGCCCAAGTCAAAGCCAAAGGTCTCTGCCAAAGCCAGAGCCGCTGCTGCAGCCGCCGCCGCCGCTGCTGCTGCTGCTGCTGCTGCTGCTGCAAACGCCGCTTCTGCTGGTGGAGCAGCTGCGGGTGGCTCCACTGCTGCTTCTGCTGGGGCTGACGGCGAGGGTGGCGCTGCTGCCGCCGCTGCTGCTACTGCTACTGCTACTGCTAGTGGTGCTACAGCAGGGAGTGCGAGGAGCAGTGCAGGCGGCAGTGAGGGCGAGGCAGCAGGGAAGGCGATGAAGGGCCTTCCAAGCCCGCGAGGCGGGGGCGAGAAGCAGAGCAGCCTGCGAGACGGGGCTCAGGGGCAGCAGCAGGCGGTGCACTCGCCTCAGCAGCTGGCTCAGCTGGCGGCGCACCTGCAGTCCCAGATGGGGGGTGCAGCAGGTGGGGGGATGGGGGGCCCTCAGGGCAGTCAGCTTGGTGGGCAGAGTCAGGTCCGGCAGAAGCTACAGCAGCAGCAGATGCAGCAGCAACAACAGCAGCAGTTGAAGCAGCAGCAGCAGCAAATGCAGCAGCATCAGCAGCACTTGCAGCGGCAGCAGGGCATGCGGCAAGGCCAGGCACAAGGGCAGCAGCAGCAGCAGATGCACATGCAGCAGCAGCAGCAGCAGCAGCAGCAGCAGATGCAGCATATGCAGGGGCTTTCCTCCCCTCCTCACAGCAGCCCGCCAGCACCGATGAATCAAAGGCACATGTTCCAGCCGCCACACCAGCAGCCACACCAGCACCCACACCAGCTGCAGCAGCAACAGCAAGGGGGGGGAGGGGGGGGCGGAAGGGCGATGGGGGGAGCAGGCGGGGGGGGGGGGCAGCTGCAGGCGCCTGGAGAGATGCTTGTGCAGCAGCAGCGGCAGCAGCTGGCAGGACCCATGGGGCAGGAGGGGAGGGGGATGGACCGAGGCACAGGGCAGCAGGGGCAGGGGCAGGGGCAGGGTGTTGCAGGAATGGGGGGAATGGGGGGGGTTGGAGGCATGGGAGGAATGGGAGGAGTGGGAATGGGCAGCATGGGAGGCCTGGGAGGGATGGGGGGTATGGGAGCGATGGGAGGTGCAGTGCAGGGAATGGGAGCAGGCAATGCTGGTGCGGGGAGGGCGGGCTCCTTTCAAGGTGAGCCGGTTTTTGAGGCGCCTCAAAAACCACCTCAATGGGGGCGATGGGTTTTTTATCTGATCTGATTGTTCTCCGTCCCACGCCGTCACAGAGTGTTCTGCTTCCTGCTGCTCTCACTTACCCCGCTCGGTTTGAGCCATGGTTGTTACAAGACCGCACATTGCCATGAATGGTCGGCACTTTGCCATGAATGGTCGGCATATTGCTGGCAGCAAACATAGAAACAGGCACTTTTCACCATGCTGTGGCGACTTTTCACTGCATCACTGTTGTTCCTCACAACGCCTCTCCGCTCTCTGCTCTCCGCTCTCTGCTCTCTGCTCTCTGCTCTCTGCTCTCTGCTCTCCGCTCTCTGCTCTCTGCTCTCTGCTCTCTGCTCTCTGCTCTCTGCTCTCTGCTCTCTGCTCTCTGCTCTCTGCTCTCTGCTCTCTGCTCTCTGCTCTCCTCGTTCTCTGCTTTCTTCCTCCACCCAATGGCAGGCCAAGGATCAATGGCATCGTCTCAATTGCCCACCCACATGAGGGGCTTGCCAGCACAGACCATGCAGCAGCAGCCGCAGTACAGTCAGCAGCATCAGGAGCAGCAGCAGCTGCAGCAGCAGTGGGCATCCGGCCAGCCGGGAGGTGCAGGGCGGGCAGGTGGAGCCGGGGGGATGCAGCAGCAGCAGCAGCAGGCGGGACAAGGGCAAGGGCAAGCAGCGGGGCGGAGTGGGTCAGGAGGGCCAGGCATGGATGAGCCCTTCCCTGCAGACCACCCTCCACAGCGCATGGGCATGCAACAGCATGCCCCCTTCCATGCCTCCTCCCACATGCCCTCTGCGGCTGCTTCCGGTCAAGGCATGGGCATGGGCGTGGGCATGGGCATGGGGGGAGGGTCGTCACTGCTGGTGGGGATCCCAGACTCATCCCTAGTGTCGTCCTTCGGAGGCATGGGTGGGGCAGTGGGAGGGATGAGGGGCATGGATGGCATGGGAGCGATGGGGGGAGCGGGAGGGGGTGTGGGGGGCGGTGAAGGGGCTGGAGGTGCAGCTGGGCGTGGTGGTGGCGCTACAGGAATCGATGAGGCAGCTATGTTTGCAGGGGAGGATGATTATGGGGATTTGCCTTGATAGTCAAGGTTCCTGTACCCGCTGCTGCTTTTTGTTCATTGAGAAAAAAAAGGGTGAAAGTGACATTGAGGCTCGAGCTAGTCCCAACCAAGGTGTGGAACTACAAAATTGAGAATTTGGTGATAGGGTTCTCTTCAACCAACCCTGACTGGTACGGGTAACAAAACACCAACCCTGATTACCGTAACACAGGGTGAAGAAATTGCTACACTTTTTGGGGAAGGGTTGCAATACGGCTGGCCTTACAAAATCAGGGTACACGTAAAAAACCGGCTTTCAGAGAGGGAATCAGGGCAAAATACACTTGAAAAAATGCCCCTGGCCCCAAAGCGTAGGCTGACTTGGTGCACAATGCAATGGACACTAGCGGGTGGTAACAGGCGAAGAACGGCTGAGGGTTGATGTATTGTGATGTTATAACCAAGAATCGTAGTGGATAGGATTAGGTTGCCAAGTACCGTATAAAGGAGAGATCTGTGAAGTCTCTGTAATGACCTTGTTGATAAATTGAAAGAGAACAAGATGATTTTATAAGATAGGAGTACACGGGTATAAATAGAAAGCTTAGCTAGCCATGTACTCTGAGGGGTACATTCCCTTATTAACTGAATTGCATTGCTACAGTAACCCACGACTATTGCTATTCTAGACAGTTACCATGTTGCATTTCGCAACTGCCTTGTGCGGTTACTGGGCAGTCAAGGGTCACGACCGTTGACTGTCTTCGACTGTTGACCTTCGGGTGACCCTCGATCTTCCGCGTGCTCTATATGAGCTCATGCGGTACTGGTACAGGCGTCTGCTTCGCTATGGGGAGACGCGACAGTGGAGAGCCTTCGGGAATGCTTGTAATAGCCTTTCGGTTATTCCAACACTCCCCTTCATTCCTGAAGGTGAGCCACGTGGGATTTCTTGGTGATCCCGCAAAGGTTGGCGCAGTGCTGGAACTGTTGACGTGGCAGCTTCTTTGTCAGGAAGTCGGCTGCCATGTCACCAGTCGGGCAGTACGTGAGCTTGACCTTGCCCTTGTCGATTTCGTCTTTGACGAAGAAGTAGCGAAGGGCGATGTGTTTCGTGCGATTCACGAAGTCGGGCTTGTTTGCGATCTTGATCACGCTCTGGTTGTCGTAGAGTAACGTGAAGTGCCCGTTCATCGTTACTTTCGCTTCCTGCAGGAGTTCCATCAGGTACAGTCCTTCGCGAACAGCTGCGCTGGCGGGGATGAATTCTGCTTCGGCTGACGAAAGGGCGATGAGTTCCTGCTTCTGGGAGTTCCATGAGATGAGTCCAGCAGGTTGAAGCTGAAAAATGAACCCTGTGCGGGAGCGTCTGTTATCAACATCTCCCGCGTGGTCAGCGTCTACGTAACCGTGCAGCTGCAGAGTAGCCGTTAAGTTAGCTTCGTAGGTGAGGCCGACGTCGGGAGTAGAGATGAAGTATTGAAGTGCGCGGCGTAGATCCTGTAGATTCTCCCCTTCAGGTCGCTTCATGTACTGAGCGAGCTGGCTTGCGACGTAGGAGAGGTCGGGCCGGCACGTGATGGCGGCGAACAGGAGGCATCCGAGCTGCTGCTGATAGAGCCGATGATCCTCAAGAGAGAGGGGCGTAGTGTCTGGTTCGTGGTTAGGAGGAGGAGTGCGAAACGGGGTGGAGAGGTTGATTGGTGCGATGCCGAATTTCTTCGCGAGTGTCTCGGCGTACTTGGCGGCGGAGAGATGAATGGAGGAGGCAGACTGAGTGATGTTGAGTCCGAGGAATTGTGTGACGTCGTGGTTGACGGTGACTTCCAGCTGCTCCTTGATGTCTGCTTCGAACTGGTCCAGTAGCTCCGTGTCGTCACAGGTGTAGAGGAGGTCGTCGACGTAGGCGACGAGGAGAATGAACTTGCCGCGCGACTCCTTCCTGTACATTCCGAGATCGTGGGGTAGCTGTTGGAAGCCGAGGTTTGTTAGCACCGTGTGGAGGTACTGCTGCCACAGGCGAGGTGCTTGCTTGATCCCATAAGGGATTTCTGGAGCAGGCAGACGGCGCCGTCGTTCTCGTCGAAGGCATGCGGCTGCTCGACGAAGATGATTGCGTCGACCGGGGCGTACAAGAATGCGCTGCCGACGTCGATTTGACGGAGTGGGCGCTGCTTGACGGCTGCGATGCAGATGAGGATTCGTACGGAGGTGTGCCGTCCGACTAGGGCATAGGTGAGATCGAAGTCCACCATGTGTGTTTGCTCGAAGCCGCGCACCACCCAACGCGCTTTGTATTTGTCGATGGAGCCGTCCGCCAGTGTCTTGATGCGGAACACCCATTTTCCGCTGAGAATTTTCCTCCCCTTCGCAGATGCGCGGGGAACAAGCTTCCAGGTGCCACGGTTTTTTAGCGATGCGATCTCCTTGGCCATGGCTGCCTTCCACTTCTCACTGTCGGGGCCGGAGAGAGCCTGACGAACAGTGGTGGGTTCCTTGGGGGAGGAGTGGCGAACAGCAACGGCGAGACCAAGAATGCGGAGACCAGTTTCGTTGGTCTTTTCGTAGTGCAGGCGATCGTAGTCGTGGAAGCTGGTTACTTTGACCACGTCGTCGTCGCTTTCGTTGCAGGGGCGGATGGTGTCTTGCGAGGTGTTGGGTTGTTGTAACGCGGCATCTGGTGAGTGGCGAGCGGCACTGTCGAAGTCATGGGCGTTGCGGGTTGTATCGTCGGGATCAGGTTGGTGTAGCGGAATGAAGGTTGGGGTTTGGAATGGGCTTATAAGGGGGATGATGGGTGCGCTGTCAAACTGAGTGACATTTGCTGCATCCTCATCTTCCGCCAGGTCAGCTTCATCATGTGGAGTTGCGAAGCTGCGGTGTCCCTCGAAAACCCTGTTCGGTGCCCTGTCAGCTTTGCGGTGTTCGTTGAACAGTGGCAGAGTCAGCTTCTCGTAGAAGATGCAGTCACGTGATTTCGCCACTTCATGTGTCGCGTAGTCCAGCACGATCCACGCTTTGTATTCTTTTTCGATCCCGAGGTGGATGCCCTAGCGAGCTCGGTCAGTAAATTTTCCTGTCCTCGCTGTATGTGGCCTGTACTGTACCATGCAGCCGAACACCCGAAGAAGACGCGTGTCCGCTTTTCTACCCGTCCACGCCTTGTAGGGGGGGTTGTTGTTCTCGAGACTGCGGGAAGACAGCAAGTTGTGCAGTCGGACTGCGTGGTTCATCGCGAATGGCCAGTATTTTGTTGGGATGGCCGACTGCTTCATCAGGGCCCTCATCCTGTTAGCGAGGCTCCTGTTTGTCCGTTCTGCTACTCCTTGCTGCTCGTGAGCGTAGGGCGGGGACACCAGGTGTTCAATCCCTTTCCTCCTGAAGAGCTCCTTGAACTCGTCCGAGAAGAACTCCAGGGCTCCGTCCGTTTGCCAACTTTTCAGCTTAAGCCCGGATTGTCGTTCAGCCCGCTTCATCCACGCGATGAAGCACTCAAAGGCGAGTGACCTGCAGTCAGTGTTGACAGCCCAGACATGGCGCGTACTTGCGTCGATGAAGGTGAGCGTGTAGTATTCGCCGTCGAGTCCCTCCTCCGTTAAACACATGAAGTCGCTGTAAACCTTATCGAGTGGTTTGTAGCGTTCGTAACCCGGCGGTAGATCGGGAAAGGGCTTGTGGGCGAGTGACGCAGTAGGGCATATGGTGCATGGTGGGTCGTCGGAGTTTGCGGTGAGGGAGCCTTCGCGGGGAAGAACAGTGCTCCGTCGTCAAAAACGCCAGCTTGCAGGGAGTTCTTGAGAGTTGCATGCGAGGGGTGCCCGAGTCGCTGATGCCAAATTGCTGGTTCCGCACGGTAACCGAACGTTTTCTGATAATATTTGTACCTTGCTGCTTCGTCGTTTGCCTCCCCTTCAGGTCCTGCATCGGCGGCGTCGTCGGTGTCGGCGGCGAGCGCGTGAATTGCCTTGCGTTCAAGGAGCGCGTGAGGAATACCGATGATGTCATCGGTGTCGCCGGCTTCGACTTGGTCTCCGGTAACAAGCAGGCACTGGTTGGGCCAGTCGCGGACTGGTAGTCCCTTCATGGGGATGCGGAAGTAGCTGTACTCGGTCCCGATGACTTCAATTTCTTGTGGGCCTTGTTCTGGCGGTGCCGGCTCCTCGGTAGGTGCTGGTAGTTCTGCTGCTACTCCGAAGAATTCATATGTTTCTTCCTCCTCTGACTCTTCTTCCATTGGTTTTGGTGTGTCAGGGGCGTACTGGTCCGGAAGAGGGGGGCCACCCCAGCTGGTGCCTCGTGTCGCCCAGTAAGGATCGAACTCCGCTGTTTCGGCTGAAGGAAGTCCAGGAGCTTCGGGATACGGAGGGGCTGCCTGCCCCAATTCCGATTGGCCTCCAGAAGTGCCCCAGCCGCTTCCGCCAGCGGAGGTGCCCCAGCCACCAGGGTTGTCTTCCGCGCCCCGGCCAGCTCCTTCGCCCCAACCACCTTCTGCGCTCCAGCCACCTTCGGCGGCACCGCTTGCTGCTGTTGCCGAGATGGTGCCGTGGTCTCCTGCAGCTGCTTCCTCTGGTGTTAAAACTTCTCCCAGGGGACCGAGTGCAGGGCCAGGGCTGACCGGCTCGGTTCCGACCTTTTCTTTTCCTTTAGCGGATGGTTCCACAGATGCTGACGTTCCGCTGTCTTCTTCCATTGATTCAGGTCCGGTTTCAGCTGGGTTGGAGGTTGAGGCGGTCGGGACAGTGCGCAGTCGCAGGAGGCCGTCCGAGGCGGGTCGTTCGAGATCCATCTCTGTGGGATGCGACCAGGTTGGGGCTTCTGCAGTGGTTGTCTTCAACAGCAAGGTGCGGTGAGAGTCTCCTGAGGTGCCTTGAGCTGAGAACTGCAGCACGAAGACCCCGTCGTTGTCCACGGCTTTGCCGATGTAAGTATTTCCGTAGAAGAGTTCGAAGGTCTTGTCCTTGCGATTTCTTCGAATATCGACCCCGCACCGCATAAGCTGAGCTGAGGAAACCAGGTTGTATCGTAGATCTGGAGCGACGA